GAGCGGGCTCCGGGCCACCGCGGGGGGAGGACAGGCCCCCCGTCCCTTCCGAGCCCCTCCGAGGTGTGGGGTCCCCACTCCTCCATCCCCACTGGGCCCCACAGACCCCTCCCCATATGTCCCCCTATGTGCCCCCAGACGCCGCTCGCCCCAGCGCACCGCGGCGGGTCCCAAGGGCTGCCGGGGCCGCGCCGTGGGACGGGGACACTGTCCCGGCGCACCGGGCTCTGCTGCCGGCGGGCTCCGTGCTCTGCCCCCGTGCCCCACGCGAGCCGCCCCGTCGGGGACACCTCCACGGCGGGACACGGCTCCGGTGGGCTCGGGCCACGCGCGAACATCCCCGCGAGTGACGAGGGGGTCCCGACGAGGCCCGGGGCTGCGGCAGGTGAGTGCCGGTGCCCCGTCCGTCCTTTCCGCCCCATTCCTCCCCATCCCACCCCGTCCGTCCCACCGGCGCTCCTACCTGGGGGGCTCGGTGACAGCGGCAGGGGCAGCGGTGACAGGGGGGTCCTCGGGCGCGGGGCCGCGCGGGCGCGAGCAGAGGCCGAGGCCGGGGCAGGCGCGGGGGGCTCCGGGCAGGACCCCCGGCAGGTTCCCCATCGCGGCCCCACTGAGCCGGGAGCGGCCGCTTCCCGCTTCCTACTGCCCGGGGAAGTGGTGACGAGGCCGCGACGCCCCCGCCCCGCACACAATGGGCACCGCCACCTCCGCCGTCACCGCCACCGCCACGCGGCGTGGGACCCACCGGTGACCCCGGCGGAGGGCGGCGAACCCGCTCTGACCCCCGGGCCCCGGGCACGCGGCCACGGGGAGGGAGCGATGGCACCCAGAGAGGGGACACGGCCCTCGGGGGGACTTGGGGACACGCATGACACCCGGGCGGGACACAGCCCCGGGGGAGCGCGGAACTGGGGGGGATATGTGGCCCTGGGGGACACGCGTGGCAGGCAGAGCGGGGACACAGCACTGAGAGGATATGGCACCCACGGGGGACACGGAGCTGGGTGGACACGCACGGCGCCAGGGGAACATACACATGGCACTGGGGTGGACATGGCACCCTGGGGACACAGCGATGACACCCAGCGGCAGGACACAACGCTGATGGGGGACACACAGCACTTGGGGGGCCGCGGTGGTGGCAGGGACCCCCATCCTGGCCACAGAACACTGTGCCCCCCATCTTGGCAGCGGCGGATCGGATGCCCCGGGGGGTTCCCGGGCCGGCCCCAGCGCCCCGGCCGTGGGGCGGATGTCCTGCGGGACCCCCCCCATTTCCCGCTGCTCCCACCCACTTCCGGCCATTGACGCGCCGGGCGCTGCCGGGGACCCCCGGGTCAGCCCCCGGGGGACCCTGCAGGGCGGCGTGCGCCCCGCGACCCTCCCGGGGCGCCCTGGGAAGCCGCGCGGGACGGGGGGTTCACCCCAGCTGGCGGCGAGGAGGGTCCTACGGTGACCCCGGAGTGGGGCGGGGGTCGCGGGGGTCGCGGAGGTCGTGGGGGTCGCGGGGCTGGGGGTCCGGGGCGGGGGTGCTGTCGGGGTGCGGGGGGTGGCGGGGGTAGAGGGGTCCCCCGGGTCCCGGGGTGAGTCCCTCCGGAGGTTCGAGGAGGGGCTCGGCCCGCAGCTCACGCGGCGACGGGAAACCGCGCCCGGTGCCGGCTCGGCGGTTCCTTCCTGCGGGGGGAGAGCGGGGCGGGGGTAACCGGGAGGCGCGGGGCGGGACCGGGATCGCGTGGGGGCAGAGCCGGGCCGGGGGGCGCCGCAGGGACCCCGGGGGGACACGGACTGGGGTCCGATCAGCCCGGCTCGGGGGTCCCGGCTCCCGGCCCCGCCCGGGGGTGTTCCCCGCCCCCCGGGCCGTGGGGCGGGACAGGGCTGTTTGTCACGACAGAGCGACCACCCGATCGTCTGTCCTGCCCGGGGGGCGGGACTCGGCCATGGGGCAGGCGGGGGTGATGAGGGTCAGGCCTCGATCCCCCCCAGCTCCTCCCGCCGCACAGCCCCTCCAGTTCCACAGCCCCCCCTGTGCCGCGGCCTCGGCCAGCCCCACATCCCCCCGTACCCCACAGCCCCCCCGTACCCCACAGCCCCCGTACCCCACAGCGCCCCCGTACCCCACAGCCCCCCGTACCCCACAGCGCCCCCGTACCCCAGAGCCCCCCGTACCCCACAGCCCCCCGTACCCCACAGCCCCCCCGTACCCCACAGCCCCCCGTACCCCACAGCCCCCCGCCCGGCCCGGCTGAGCTCCGCTTGGTCTGCTCTGTCCGGTCACGTTTGGTCGGACAGGTCCATCTGGTGGGTCCGGTGGATCCATTTGTGTCCGATCGGTCCTTTCGGGTCCGGTCGGTCCCAGTGGATCCATTCGGGTCCATTGGCGCCCGTTTGGGTCCGTTCGGGTCCGTCCGTGGCACCGGAAGCCGCTTGCAGCCGGTCGGTCGCGCCGGTCGGGGCGGGAGTGCTCGGATGGGTCGGGCCCGGTTGGCGGAGTCCGCCCGGCCGGACCGGCTGGTTCGGTCCGTCTATTCGGGGCCGTTCGGGTCCGGCTGGTCCAGTCGGCTCCGGTCACCCCGGTCGGTCCCAGCGGTCGCGGCCCCGGGCCCGGAGCCAATTTCAGCACCTGGGACAGAGACCGGGAGCATCCAGGCCAGCGGCAGGCTCGGGACTAGACCGGGACCGGACGGGAACGGCGCGGAACTGGCGCTGGGACCTGGGGCTGGACTGGGCTCTGACCGGGACCGACACCAGGACTGAGGAGAACTGGGACTGGTTTGGGCTGAGGTGGGACTGGGATCGGCGCTGGGACCAGAACCATGGCTGGGACTGGGACTGGGCTGGACTGGGACAGCGCTGAGACCCTGACTGGACTGGGAGGGATCTTTGTGACTGGGACCAGAACTGGGCCAGAAACGGACGGGGAGTGGATTGGGATTGCATTAGAGCGTGAAGGAACTGGACTGGCCTGGAAGTGGACTTAGAGCTGGAATTTCAGCTGGGACCAGGACTTGGACTGGACTGGAACTAAAATTTGGACTGGATGGAGACTGGTACTGGGACCAGACTGGACTGGTAATGGACTGGGAGAAGGGGGACTGGGATTAGGATTTAACTGGAACTGTGACTAGACTGGGACCACAACTGGACAGGACAGGGACACAGGGACTAGATGAGTTCTGGGCTGAGACTGGGACTGGAGAGGACTGGGAGTGGGACAGGGACTAGAACTACGACAGAAACGAGAATTAGGATTGGACAGAGATTAGGATTAGGCCGGGATCGGGCCTAGGACAAGGGCTGCTCTGGGACTGGTATGGGGCTGGTGCCAGAACTAACCTGGGAAGGGGGTTCGGCTGGCTGGGGACGCTCCCAGCAGGACCCAGCTGGGGCTGTGCCCGGATGCTGCGCTGCTGCCCCACATGGCCCCGTGTCCCCGCGTCCAGGTGTCCCACTGTCCCCGTGTCTCAGTGTCCTGGTGCGCCAGCGTCCCCATATCCCCATGTCCCAGTGTCTTGGTGTGCCACTGTACTTCATTCTGGTGTCTTGGTGTCTACAGGTACCCATGTCCCTGGGTCCCAGTGTCCCGATGTCCTGGTAACCCAGTGTCCTCGTGTCTCATGTCCCTGTGTCCCTGTATCCCCATGTCCCCTGTGTCCCCGTGTCCCTGTATCCCCGTGTCCCGATGTCCTGGTAACCCAGTGTCCTCGTGTCCTCATGTTCCGGTGTGCCCAGGTCCCCGTGTTCCAGTGTTCCCACATCCAGGTGTCCCCGTATCCCCGTATCCCCATGTCCCCATGTCCCCCGTGTCCCCCGTGTCCCTGTCTCCCCGTGTCCCCGTGTCCCTGTCTCCTCGTCTCCCCGTCTCCCCATCTCCCCGTGTCCCTGTATCCCCGTGTCCCCATGTCCCCGTGTCCCCTGTGTCCCCATGTCCCCCGTGTCCCTGTCTCCCCGTGTCCCCGTGTCCCCGTGTCCCCCGTGTCCCCGTGTCCCGTGTCCCCGTGTCCCTGTCTCCCCGTGTGACCATGTCCCCCGTGTCCCCGTGTCCTGTGTCCCGTGTCCCTGTCCCACCTGCCCGGCTGTGTGGCCTCGCTGCCAAGCGTGGCTGGGCGGGGGTGTCCCCGGGGTGCCGGGCCGGTGCGGGGCGGTGCGGGGCGGTGCGGGGCGGTGCGGGGTTCCGGGGCGGGGGGCGTGGCTCCGTGCCGGTGGGCGGGGCCGGGGCGGGGCCGGGGGCCGCTCGGTGCCGCCGGGCGGGGCGGGGCGGGGGTCCCGAGCGGGGGGCGTGGCTCCGTGCCGGTGGGCGGGGCCGGGGCGGGGCCGAGGGGCGCTCGGTGCCGCCGGGCGGGGCGGGGCGGGGGTCCCGGTCCCCCCGCGGCCATTGGCTGCGCCGCGCTGGCCCCGCCCCGGCCCCGCTGTCAACACGCAGCGCCCGCCGCGCCCGCGGGGCCGGGCCGGGCCGGGCCGAGCGCACCGACCGAGCCGAGCCGAGCCGAGCCGAGCCGAGCCGAGCTGAGCTGAGCTCAGCCCGCCCGAGCCGGGCCGCGCCCGCCCGAGCCCCGCCGAACGGAGCCGAGCCCGGCCCAACCCAGTGCAGCCGCGCGCAGCCGAACCCAGCTCAGCCGAACCGCGCCGAACCCAGCCGAGCCCGCCCGAGCTCAGCCCAACCGGGCCGAGCCGAACCGAAACCGAACCGAACCGAACTGAAGCGGGCCGAACCCCGCCGAACCGAACCGGCCGAGCGCAGCCGAGCCCGGCTCAGCCCGGCCGTTCCGAACGGAGCCGAACCGTTCCGACCCGTTCCGAGCGGCGCCGCGCGCGGGGCGGGTCCGGTCCCCCCCGGTCGCTCCGTGACTAAATAAGGCCGATGGCGCGGCGCGCACCGGGCGGGTAGAGCGGGGGGGCTCGGCCCCGCCGCCCCCCTCCGCCTCCCCGTTCCGGACCCCCCCGGCCCCGCAGCGCCGCACCGGGGCGGGCGGGGTCCGGCCCCGGGCCGGGAGCGCCCCCCCGGTCCCCGGGGCCCCCCCGGCGGCGCCGTCCTTGGCTCAAGGGCAGCGGGACCCCCCGCGGCGCGGGCCCCCCCGCCCCGCCCCCCCGCCCCGCCGGCGCTGCCCATGGGCCCGGCACGATGCCGGTGCGGCGGGGGCACGTCGCCCCCCAGAACACCTTCCTGGACACCATCATCCGCAAGTTCGAGGGGCAGAGTGAGTGGGGGGACCGGGGGCACCGGGGCGGGAGCTGCGCGGGGGGAGCTGCGGGGAGGGGGTTGGGAGGCACCGGGAGCACCGGGCGGGAGGGCAGTGAGGGGACCGTGGCCCCGGGTGCGTCTGAGGTGACGGGGCCGAGCCCGGCAGGGAGGGACCCCGCTCACCCTGGCGTCTGGGAGCCCCCGGCTCGAGGTGGGCTGGGGGTGACGGGGACAAACCAGGCTGGGGGGCATTCCTGCCCACCCTGCCCTCCAGCTGCCCCTGGCTCTGGGCTGCCACAACTGGGGCTTCCCCACAGTCCCCGGGGTGTGGAGCCCCCCACCAGCTCAGGCTGCTGTGGGACTGGGGGTCCCCCCGGCCTGTGCCCCCCCAGCACTGCCCAGCAGCTGGAGCAGGGGGACCTGGCAGAGTGGGGGCTCTGGGAGACTGAAAATCTGGGGGTTCCCAGCGCCCCTCTGGGGTCAGGCCCAGAGCATCCCCCGGCTGGAGACAGGGCAGTGATGTGGGGGGATGCTGCCCGGGGGTCGGGCTGGGGGTGTCACCCTGCTCGGGGCTCTGCCGCTGCCCTCGGGGTGGGGTGGTGGCAGTCCCAGGGTGCCCATGGTAGTGGTGTCCCTAAGGGGTCTCTGCAGTTGTGGGGGTCCCTGTGATGAAGAGGGATCCCAGAGTTCCTTCTGCTGTGGGGCCCTGGGTCCCCGTGGTTTTGGGGTCCCTGTGACGGAGGGATCCCAACAGTTCTGGGGTCCCCACGGTGGTGATGCCACCAGCTTAGGGGGTCCCTGGGGAGCGAGCAGGATGACTCCTGACGTGCGTGTCCCTGGGGAACCCAGAGCCACGCGTGGAGGGGTGGAGAGGACCCCCGGGGGGCTGCTGCGGCCTGAGCCGCCCACCCCTCTCCCGCAGGCCGCAAGTTCATCATCGGGAACGCGCGCGTGGAGAACTGCGCCGTGATCTACTGCAACGAGGGGTTCTGCCGGCTCTGCGGGTACTCGCGGGCCGAGGTGATGCAGCAGCCCAGCACCTGCGACTTCCTGCACGGGCCCCGCACCCAGCGCCGCGCCGCCGCCCAGATCGCCCAGGCGCTGCTGGGCGCCGAGGAGCGCAAGGTGGAGATCTGCTTCTACCGCAAGGATGGTACGGAGCCGGGGGGCGGGATGGGGGGCGGCGGGGACAGCGGGGACAGCGGGGACAGCTGTGGGAGCACAAGGTGCAGATCTCTGCCCGAGGATGGTGCTGACCCCCCTGGGCACCCGGGCTGGGGACAGCAGGCACGGGGACAGAGCGGGGCGGCAGGAGCTGTTGGCACAGGTGGGAACACAGGGCACACTGACACCCCCGGGGGTTCGCAGCGCTCTCCAGTACCGGGATGGCTCCCAGCAGGGTGCGAGCCTGGCCTGGTGGCTCTAGACGGGCACCAGCGCCCTGTGTGCCCTCCGTCCTTCCCGGTACCACGGAGGCCAGCGGGTGGGCCCCGGGGAGCCACGTGCTGTGGGCCCGGGGCTGTGGGGTGCAGTGATCCCCCCCAAGGGGGATGCACGGGGCTGTGTCACCCGGAGCAAGGCCAGGGGAGGAGTGGGCTGAGCTGGTGTCACCATCCCTGTGGGGCTGTGTGGCATAACGGGCGGGTGACATCGCGGGGTCCCTGTGCCAGGCGCTGGGAGCTGTGCCCCGCAGGGCCCGGCCTTGGCCGTGCTGCTGCTTCCCCTGGCCGTGGCCCCGAGCCAGTGCCAGGTGTCCCGGCTGTCACACAGCTGTCCCAGCTCCGGGCACACGGCCCCGGTTCCGGTGCTGGAGTAAACAAAGCCGGTGCCAGCTGCCGGCGTGGCCACGGCGCCGTGCAGAGCCACCGTGGCCCCGGGAGCCCTGGCGGAGCGGCCCTGGCCCTGGCACCCTCGTCCTGCCGCACCGGCTGTGCCTGGCACGCCCCAGCGCCCCTTGGGCTGTGCAGTGCCGGGGCCGTGGGGCACGGGTGGCCGTGGGGCACGGGTGGCCGTGGGTGTCCCCCTGGAGCCAGCGTTGGGCCCTCCTTAGGGTGACACTGATCGGCCCGTGCCACGGGGGCGCTGGAAATGGGGCTCCTGCCTGGGGCCTTCCTTGGCTCCCCAGAGACCGTGACACCCCCAGCTGTACCCCGGAGCGGCGTGGGGGTCTCACCCCTTACCAGCCCTCGCGTGCAGCCACGGAGAGGTGGGACTGGGGGTTCCCAGAAGTGATGAGGGGTCCCAGCCCTTGGGCGCTTCCCTGGGGCCCACGGGGATGTGTGGTGAGGGCTCTGGGGGTGCTCTGGGAGCCCCCCCGGGAGCGGGGCCGTCCATGGGAACCGGCTGCCCCTCGGGATGGGGTGGGACCCTCGGTTAGCCCTGGGTCGGAGTGCCCTGGGCCCCTCGGCCGGAGATGCTGCGGGGGTCCCACCACGGGGGTCTCCTCCCGGTACCGCCGTGCTGCCAGCCGCTGTGTGAGGCTGCTGGGGGTCCCACTCGCTGCACCGGGACCCCCGGGCACCGCGGGGCAGGGACCTGGCTGCCAGCGGCTCCGGCGTCCCCGGTGCTCCCGGTGTCGCTGCCATTCCACGCGTGTCCTCGGGATCGTGTTGTGGTGCCCGCTGCCCCCCTGCAGCCCCCACCGCGAGCCCCTGGTGCGTCCCGGTGGCCGGTGCCGTGTGCCGGTGCCCGGAGCCGCGGTGCAGCCGCGCTGGAGCCGCCGCGGAGCTGCGCTGCTGCTGCAGCCATTTGTCTTCGCGACGTGTTGTTTATGGTGCCGGGGACGCGCGGAGGTCACGGCGCCCCTGGGGCACCGGTGTCCCCACAGGGACACCTCGGGGACCCCAGGCTGGCTGGGGGGCAGGGAGGGGGCACGGACAGCCCCATGTGGCCTTTGGGGTCCCCCTGTGCGTGGCCCCCGGTGTTGGGGCAGGGCGGGAGCGGCCCAGGGCCGAGTCGGGGCCTCGTCACTGTGACACCTCGGGGTGTGGGGGTCCCCCCTGTGCCAGAGGGGTGTCCCCAGCCTGGCTGCGAGCCTGGGGGTGCAGGTGGCTCCTCGGTGCGGGGGTGCAGGTCCCAGGGCAGTGGGTGCGGTAGGGGGGTGCAGGGATGGGGGGCCAGGGGGCTCCCCGCTTTGGGGGTCCTGCTGCCCCCGGCAGTCCCGGGATGCTGGGGTGCAGTGCGGGGGCGTGGGGGGATTTGGGGCACAGCTCTGGCGGTGGGGGGTGCACTTAGGGTGGGGGGGAAAGGGGCTCGGTCCCGTTGCGGCGCGGGGTGCACCTCTGCCGCTGCGGTCCCCCCTCGCCCCCACCCGGGACGGGACCAGCCCCCCTCGGGCAGCAGGAGCCGAGCTGTGCCCTGGGGGCTCAGGATTGATTCCCGGGGGTGACAGAGCCAGCGGCGGCCGTGGCACCAATCCCCCCGCGGCAGTGGCTCGGCGAGGACCCCGCGGTCACCCGGGGCCACCCTGTGCTGGCCCCCAGCCCGCGGCCCCGCGGGCGGCAGGGAATCCCCCCGCCGCGGGCACGGGAGCAGGGCCAGTGCCAGCTGGCACCGCCGTGCCAGGCTGCCGGGCCCGGTGCCAGCCGGGGGGACACCGGCGGCGGGGACTCGGTGCTTTGGCGTCACCCGCGTGTCCCCCTGGCCCCACCCAGCCGTGTCCCCCCAGGGTTTCCGTGGGGTGAGGGCTGCCGGGGGGGAGCAGGATGCCCCCCCCATCCCCAGAGGTTGCCCCGGGCTGCCCTGAGCACCCCCATTGCCCCCCCAGCTGTGGCACCGGATTAACGCCACAGCTGTTAACGGGTTCTGAGCGGCTTAACCCCGCCCGGCACCCCCGGAGCCCCCCGCGCCCCCCCGGCACCGCTGCCCACGCACAGACATGCCACGACGTTTGGGGGGGGGAAGGGGACACCCCCGCCCTAACGTGCCTCAGTTTCCCCCCGCGGTACAGCTGCAGTGGAGTCAGTGTTGGGGGGCAGGCAGGGGTGATCCCCGGAGGGGGTTCAGCAGGAATGGGGGGCGGCAGGGGGTGCTCCCCAGCAGGGACAGGGGCAGTGTGTCCCGGGATGTTTGGGGCCAGGCAGGGATGACCTCCCGGGTGGGGGTGCCACCCCCGGTGTCACTGTCCCCCTCTCCCCGCAGGCAGCTCCTTCCCGTGCCTGGTGGACGTGGTGCCGGTGAAGAACGAGGATGGCACCGTCATCATGTTCATCCTCAACTTCGAGGCCGTGAGGGAGCCCGAGCCCGGGGAGGCCCCGACCCCCGGCACCAACCACTGGGTCACTCCGGCACCCTGGGGCCCGGCAGGTACGGGGGACAGGGACACCGGGTCACCCCCAGGTGTGGGGGGACTGGGACAGGGACACCGGGTCACCCCCAGGTCCGGGGGGACAGGGATGGAAACACCGGGTCACCCCCAGGTCCGGGGGGACAGGGACGGGGACACCGGGTCAGCCCCAGGTCCGGGGGGAGGGGGACACCGGGTCACCCCCAGGTACGGGGGGACGGGGACACCGGGTCACCCCCAGATACGGGGGGACGGGGACACCCCCAGGTACGGGGGCACGGGGACACCGGGTCACCCCCGGGTACGGGGGGACAGGGACACCGGGTCACCCCCAGGTATAGGGGGACGGGGACACCGGGTCACCCCCAGGTACGGGGGGACAGGGACACCGGGTCACAGCCCCCTCCTGGGTTCCTGCAGGGGAACGGGTCGGTGCCACCGGGCTGGTGGCAGCTCGTGTCCCGCTGTCCCCATGTGCCAGGTGTTGCTATGGGGCACAGGGGGCCAGCGGGCAGCACCGTGGGGAGGGGGTGCAGGGACCCTGCCCTGGCCCCAGCGCTGACCCCGGGGTGCAGCCGCTCCGTGCGGCCGAAGCAGCGCCGGGGTGGGGATCTGGGGCCGGTCCTGGGCCTGACCCAGCCCCGTCTCTCCCCCAGGACGCAGCCGGTCCCTGCGGCTGAAGCTGCTGGCGCTCACGGGCAGCCGCCAGTCGCTGCCCCCCGAGCCCCCGGAGCCGCCGGACGTGGTGGTCGTGGAGCCGGGGCTCACGGACCCGCTGGCCGCGGACCCGGCCCCGCCTGCCGGCGACTCGGGCCCCGAGGACGGCTCGTCCTCGCTGGAGGCCGGCGCTGGGGACCGGCCCGAGGACGAGGCGGCGCTGATGGGGGACCCCGAGCCGCCGGTGCCGCGGCCGTCCCCGCGGGCCGAGCGCCTGGCGCTGGCCTTCGCCAACCACAGCCTGGCCCGGAGCCGCTCCCGGGAGCGCCGGTCCCGGGAGAGCCTCCGCAGCCTCCGCCGGGCGTCCTCCGTCGATGACATCGAGGCCATGAAGGGGGACGGCGACAAGCGCTGCCACAGCCGCCACGCCAGCGCCAGCACCGGCACCGGCCTGCAGCGCGGCTCCAGCACCGGTACGGCCCGCGGGCACCGGGACAGCCCCCGGTGCTGGGGGCGTGGGGCGGCCACAGCCACGGACCCTGCTGGGCTGGGGACACCCCCGTCACCCCCGAGACCCTCGCAGCCCATCCTGCAGCCCCCTGAGCCGCAGGGGAGTCCCCCCGGGAATCTCCTCGGGAGCCCTGGCTGGCCCCAGAGATCATTAAGCGCGTTAAGATAAGGGACAATTAGTGTAATGGCATTAGAGGTAACTGAGAGCAGCTCTGCAGGTCCCGGGGGCGGTGGCGCACGCCCGGGGGGCTCTGCCCTGCCCGGGGGGCTCTGCCCTGCCCTTCCCCTGCCCCGGGGCTCTGCCCTGCCCCGGGGCTCTGCCCTGCCCCGGGGCTCTGCTCTGCCCGGGGGGCTCTGCCCTCCCCCGGGACTCTGCCCTGCCCTTCCCCTGCCCTGGAGCTCTGCTCTGCCCTGCCCCGGGGCTCTGCCCTGCCCCGGGGCTCCGCGTTCCCTTCCCCTGCCATGGGCGCCCACCTGGGAGCTGTGGGACTCCCGGGGACCGTGGGACCCCCGCCCCGGGAGCCGTGGGGAGCCGTGGGGAGCCGCAGGGAGCCGCGGTGACAGTCCCCCGGCCGCGGTGACAGTCCCCCGGCCGCGGTGACAGTCCCCCCGCCGCGGTGGCGGCTGTCCCCCCCAGGCGCGGTGGCCGCGGTGCGCAGCGCGCTGCTGAACTCCACGTCGGACTCGGACCTGGCGCGGTTCCGCGCCATCGGCCGCATCCCGCAGATCACCCTGAACTTCATGGAGCTGCCCCCGGGGGGGCTGCGGGCCCCCGGCCCGGCCCCACGGCCCATCATCGCCCCCACCAAACTGCGCGACCGCACCCACAACGTCACCGAGAAGGTCACACAGGTGAGAGCCGGACGGGGGACTGGGGGACGGGTGACACAGGTCACACAGGTGAGACCCAGAGAGGGGGACAGGTGACACAGGTCACACAGGTGAGACCCGGATGAGGGGACAGGTGACACAGGTGACACAGGTGACACAGGTGAGACCTGGACAGGGGGACAGGTGACACAGGTCACACAGGTGAGACCCAGAGAGGGGGACAGGTGACACAGGTGACACAGGTGACACAGGTGACACAGGTGAGACCCAGAGAGGGGGACAGGTGACACAGGTGACACAGGTGACACAGGTGAGACCTGGACAGGGGGACAGGTGACACAGGTCACACAGGTGACACAGGTGAGACCCAGAGAGGGGGACAGGTGACACAGGTCACACAGGTGACACAGGTGAGACCCAGAGAGGGGGACAGGTGACACAGGTCACACAGGTGACACAGGTGAGACCCAGACAGGGGGACAGGTGACACAGGTCACACAGGTGACACAGGTGAGCCCTGGGGGCTGCACAGGGCCCGGAGTTGAGTGGGAGCCGACTGGGTTATGCTGGAGGTGACAGGGGGTGCCAGAGGTGGCCAAGTGGTGACAAAGGTCACCGGGGAATGCCATAGGGGCAGGTGCTGCTGGAGGTGCCAGGTGACGCCAGGTGCCCAGGAGGTGCCAGGGGTGGCAGGTGGTGCAGAGGTGGTGGGATGTGCCCGGGCATCCGGACAATTTCAGGGATGATGTGCCAGGCTGTGCCAAGGTGGCCGAGCAGTGACAAAGTGTCCGAGCAGTGACAAGATGTCCAGGCAGTGCTGGAGGTGGCCGAGCGATGCCAAAGTGTCCGGGTGATGCCAGAAGTGTCCAGGTGGTGCCAAAGTGACCGGGCAGTGCCAAGGCGGCTCAGGGAGGGGTGGGGGACTGGCTGGGGGTTGTGACCGCGGTGTTCTGGGGCGGTGGGTGCCATGGCTGGGGACAGTCGGGTCCTGGAGGGCTCCAAGTGAGATGCAGGGGGCAGACACTGCCAGTGCCGTGGTGCCCCTCGCCCCGGTGCCGTGGTGCTGTGGTGCCCCTCGCCCCGGTGCTGTGATGCCCCTCGGCCCGGTGCCACGGTGCCCCTCGGCCCGGTGCCGCGGTGCCCCCCGCCCCGGTGCCGCGGTGCCCCTCGCCCCGGTGCCCCCCGCCCCGGTGCCGTGCCTACCGGGTGCCAGGCACTGGCGGCCGCGCTAATCCGTGCCCGTTGTGTAACCGCCATCTGCCGCGGGAGCAGGAGGCGCCGCTTAATTACACCCTGATTTCCCTCCGCTAATGATCCGGGGGGGTCGCGGGGCATCCCGCGGGGATGGGGGATGTCTGTCCCTCCCCGCCGTGTTCCCCCGCGGCCCCGGCCGGGCTGTCCCCGGGCTCCCGGGCAGCTGGCGGGGGACGGAGCAGCCCCGGCGCATCTGCCCGGCCGCTCGGGACCCCCGGCCCGCAGCTGCCCGCACACGTGCGGGGCCCCGGGGGGACCCCCGCCCACCCTCGGCTCCGGGCCCCGCTCCGGGCGCTCCCCGCGCTGCTGCGGGGGCAGCCGCTGGGCCCTCGGTGGGGTGGAGGGACCCTTCTGTGGGGTGAAGGGACCCTTCTGTGGGGTGAAGGGACCCTTCTGTGGGGTGGCACCCCCGTCCCTCCGCACCCCGACCCCCCCGCTCCTCACGGAGCCTCTTGATTGCCTCGGCCGTGATTAATTGTGCCCCCGGGTGACGCTGCGCTCTCACTTCCCCCGCCGTTCCACGGGGGCCACGAGGGGCCACGGGGGCCACGAGGGGACACGGGACAAGGCTGCGGTCACCGGGCCGGGCTCTGCCCCCCGCACGCCGAGGGGTTCTCGGGGTGCCCCGGCTGTGCGGAACCGGGACACGGACACGGGGTGCGGGAACTGGGCCGTGGGGCTGTCCCCCGCTCGGGCCTCGCGTGTCGGTGGCGCTGGGGACACGGTGTCCCTGCAGCGGCGCCGTGATTCACCCGCGGGGCCGGAGCCAAGCGCCCGACAAGGTCACGGCGCGCTGGGGGACGGTGACACGGGCCCGGTGTGCCCGGGGTGTCCGTGACGTCCCCACGGCCCACGGGACCCCCGGGAACTCCTGGTCTGTTCTGGAGGGACCCCTGGGTGCGGCAGGATGGGGCTGGGGGACCCCAGACCCACTCAGGGTGTGTGGGGACCCGGCGGTGCCACCAGCCAGGGCGTGTCACCGGGGTGTCGCTGGCTCTTGGGGACACCGGGGACCCCACTGCGGGACGAGTCCTGCCGACCCCGGCCCCGCTGGCACCCCCGGGTGGGCGAGGGCGCTGCCCCCCAGATCCCTCTCGCTGGGGCTGGGGGTGCCCGGGGGGCGCGGCCGTGGGGCACTGCCAGGGCTGGGCAGTGGCCAGGGACACGGGGACAGCCGTGAATCAGCCGGGGCTGCCAGGGCCAGCTCACCGCCACCGTCACTGTCCGTGTCCCCGTCACTGTCCGTGTCCCCACCGTCACTGTCCGTGTCCCCCACCGTCACTGTCCGTGTCCCCACCATCGCTGTCCTTGTCGCCGCCGCCGCCGTCCCCATTCCGGTTCCCATCCCGCCGTGACGGGGCCGTGCGAGTCACACTCCGGGGATCCCACGCGGGTCCGGGGGCCGCGGTGCCCGCTGGCAGCGGGGAGGGGGTGGCAGCGGGGCAGGCGGGGAAGGCACCGGCTCCGGGGACCCCCGTGCCCCACCGGTGTCCCCGCGGGGCCGTTCCCGGGCGCTCCCGGTCCCTCCTCCGGGGAGTGGCGAGGGCTGGAGCCGGGGGGGGGCCCGGCGGGGGCGAGCGGCGGGGAGGGCTCGGGGGGTCCCGCCCCGCTCCATCTGCGGGGAGGGCTCGGGGGGTCCCGCCCCGCTCCATCTGCGGGGAGGGCTCGGGGGGTCCCGCCCCGCTCCATCTGCCGCGCGGGGCCGGGGGGGCGCGGGGACCCCCGAGCGCGGCCATGGCCCCGGCGCGGCGCGACAGCGGCGACCGCCCCGACGGGGAGCGGCGGGAGCGGGTCCGCCGGGCCGTGCGGGTGTCCAGCCTGGTGGCACAGGAGGTACGGGGGTCCCGGGGGTCGCGGGGGTCCTTACCGGGAGGGAAAGTGGGACCCGCTGTTGGCACCGCCGCGCGTGGGCTCGGGGTCCCGCGGGCGTCCCCGTTCCCTCCCCGGAGCGGGCGCGCACCGGGGATCGCTGGTGGCGGCTGTGGGGGTCGCGGGGGGATCTGGGGGCTCTGCGGAGGGTCCCCCCGCTGCGGGATCGGGGTCCCGTTGTCTTCTCCGTGCGCGGGGGCAGCGCCCCGGGGCTGTCCCCACGCGGGACGCAGGGGATGGGGCGCTGGGGACAGCGGTGGGCGCTGCAGGCGGCCCTGAGGGGCACCGGGGGGCTCTGAGGGCACCGGGGGGCTCGGAGGGGCACCGGGGGGCTCGGAGGGACCCCCGCGGCAGAAACGGGGTCCCGCAGCACGGGGGCCCGGGGGTGTCCCCGTACCGGGATGGGGGGGAGGGGGCGGGCACCGGCGATCGTGGCCGGAGGGTTTGGGTGGGTTTGGTGGGTTTGGTGGTCCCGGGATTTTCGGGGGGGTGTGGGGGGGGTTCCCCCGTGGGAACAGGGACCTGCGATTTATCGTGCCCCGCGTGGGTGCGGGGTCCCGGGGGTGTCCCCACGCCGGGATGGGGGACACGGAGCGGGGGTGGCAGCAGGCGGCTCTGGGGGGCTGCGGGGGCTGGGGGGCCCGGAGTGTCCCCGCCGGGGGGGTGTCCCTCCTGTGGCTCATCCCGCCCTCAGGGCTGTGGGGTACCGGGGGTGCCCCCGCGCTTGGATGGGGGGCACTGGTGGTTGTGCTGGGCGGCTCTGGGGTCCGGGGGGATCTGGGGCCCCCCAGTGCCTCCCGGGGGTTGGGGGCGTAACCCCCTCGTGGGTCCCCGGTGCCCACCTGGTGCTGCGGCCGGGCCCGGTGTGTGTCCAGCTGTGCCTCGGTGGCTTCTGGTGTGGCGAGGGGTAACTGCCCGTGGCCTCTGCTGTGTCCCAGCTGGTCCCCAGAGTGTCCCGGGTGGTCCCCAGAGTGTCCCCGGTGGTCCCCAGAGTGTCCCAGCCGGTCCTTGCAGCCGTTCCCTTGCCGGTGGCCCGTGGCTTTGGGGTGGGTGCGGGTCAGTGCCAGCGTCACCGGGTCGGGGTCGGAGCTGGGGCGGGCGCACCGCCCCCAGGGACGTCACCCCGTCCCCCAGGGACGTCACCCCGTCCCCCAGGGACGTCACCCTGTCACGGGGCTTGTCCCCCACCCTGCCACGGGTGCCACAGGCAGCGGGTGCCACTGTCGCTGCCCGCCCGGGCGGCCCCGTGTCCCCTGTGCCCATGTCGGGGGGTCCCGAGGGTGCTGCGACGCCGCAGCTCAGCGCCGTGAGTACCCCCGGTGCCACCCTGGGGGGACAGCGGTGCGGGGAGGGGAACTGGGGGGTCCCCAGCACCGGGATGTCCGCACTAGTGGGGTGTCTCCTGTGTCGGGGTGTCCCCGCGGTGCTCTGGGGTCCCCTGGCTGATAGCTGCTGCTGCCCTGGTGGTGACCAGAGCGGTGACACCTGCAAGGTGACGGGGATGTCATGGGGGGTCGGTGTCCGTCTGGCTGGAGGTGTCCCCGGGGCTCCCGCGCCTCGGGCTCAGTGACAAGGTGGGTGTCAGTGTTCAGGTTTGGGAGCTCTGGGGGTCTTAGACCCTGGTGGGGCATTGGGTGGGTGCCAGGGCCTGGTTAGGGCCCGTGTAGGGTACCCAGGCAGGTATCGGTGCCCAGGAGGGTGTGGGGTACCTGCCAGGGCCAGTGCGGGGTGCCCATGGGGTGCTGGGGGTCCCTGGCTGTACCTGCCAGTGCTGGTCTTGGGTGCCTGTGGGTGCTGGTCCCTGCTGGGGCTGTGTGGCCGTGGGGTCCCTGTGGGGCAGGATTTGGGGTTCTGTGGCTGTCGGGTCCCTGCTGGGCAGGATTTGGGGCTCTGTGCCCGTGGGGTCCCTGCTGGGGCAGGATTTGGGGCTCTGTGCCCGTGGGGTCCCTGCTGGGGCAGGATTTGGGGCTCTGTGCCCGTGGGGTCCCTGCTGGGGCAGGATTTGGGGCTCTGTGCCCGTGGGGTCCCTGTTGGGCAGGATTTGGGGCTCTGTGCCCGGGGGGTCCCTGCTGGGGCAGGATTTGGGGCTCTGTGTGTGTGGGGTCCCTGCTGGGGCAGGATTTGGGGCTGTGTGTGTGTGGGGTCCCTGCTGGGCAGGATTTGGGGCTGTGTGTGTGTGGGGTCCCTGCTGGGGCAGGATTTGGGGCTGTGTGGCCGTGGGGTCCCTGCTGGGGCAGGATTTGGGGCTCTGTGCCCGTGGGGTCCCTGTTGGGGCAGGATTTGGGGCTCTGTGTGTGTGGGGTCCCTGCTGGGCAGGATTTGGGGCTGTGTGTGTGTGGGGTCCCTGCTGGGGCAGGATTTGGGGCTCTGTGGCCGTGGGGTCCCTGCTGGGGCAGGATTTGGGGCTGTGTGCCCGTAGGGTCCCTGCTGGGGCAGGATTTGGGGTCTCTGCCGGGTGTGGGGTGTCACTGCGTCCGTGCTGGGCGGGCCGGGAGCCGGGGCCGTGTCCGGGGGGGTGTCGGTGCCCGGGGGGTGTCGGTGCCCGGGGGCCGTGTCCGGGCACAGGGGGTCGCTCAGGGCCCCGGGGGTCTCTCAGAGTCCCGGGGGTCTCTCAGGGCCCCGGGGGGGTGTCGGTGCCCCCTGTCCCGGCCCGGGAATTTGGGGTGCTCCGTGGGCGCGGGTGTCTGGGTCACGCAGGTGCGCACCGGGTGTCGCGGGGGGCGGCGGTGCCACCGCAGGTGTCGGGGACGCGTCACCGGGGCGGGACGTGTCGCCGCGTGCTGCCGAACGTGTCACCGGCACCGGCGCCATCTGTGTCACCGTGAGTGACGGGTGCGGGGCGGGGGGGCGGCCCCGGGCCCGGGCTGCGGGATGTCGCCGCGTACCGGCCCCGTCCTGCCGAACGCGGGGGGACCGGGGTGTCCCCAGCCCCTGTTCGCGGCACCCCCGAGCCCTGCAGGGGGGTCTGGGGACTGTCCCCATGGCGGGGGGACATGCTGCCCCACCACTTGGGGGGCTGGGGGTCGGGGGGGTTCTGCGTGTGCCCCCTGTGCGTGCGGGGGGCTGGCACAGGGACGGGGTGCCAGGACAGTCCCTCCGGGGGGCTGGCACAGGGACGGGGTGCCAGGCCAGTCCCTCGCCCCCAGCTGGGACCCCGGGAACCCGCGTGGGCTGCACTGGGGGGGCTGACCAGCTGCGGGGGCGGGGGGTCCATTCTGGGGGGCGCTGACAGATGTATCCGTGGGGCTGACGCGCGGGGGTGTATTTTGGGGGGCTGTGACTCAGTGGGCGTCCCGGTCACTCTCCCGTGCCTCCCATCCCTGCCCGGTTTCCTGCAGAGGGGGTCCCCAGTCAGGGGTCACGGATGGGGGCGAGTTCAGGTGGGCTGTGGGTCACCTCCAGCCCATGGGGGCCACCCCCAGCCCATGGTGGCCGCGCGGGTCGGGGGGACCCAGAGCCGGCGGGACCCCCCTGGCCCGGGGCGTTCGGCGGCCCCCCGCCCCCCACGCCGGAGGCCGCGATTTGTCCCACTTTGCCGTGGCAGCGCGATAAATTTAGCGGCAGGAGCGGCTGGTGGCTGGAGCCGCCCCCCGTCCCCTCCCCCGCTGTCCCCGGGCCCCCCCGGTCCCCTCCCCCGCTGTCCCCGGGCCCCCCGTCCCCTCCCCCGCTGACACCGCAGCCGGCACCGCCACTCTGGGGCTGGGGTCCCCCTCCAGGACCCCCCTGGGGACACCCCCGGGCCGGCACCCGCTCTGTGCCGCGGTACTTGTCACCCCCCGTGTCCCCGGGACCCCCGTGGCACCCCCGGGGAACGCGCCGGGAGTACGGGGGTGTGGGGGTGCAGCCCCCCGGGAAGGGGGGGACGGGGACCCCCGGCCCGCGGGCCGCGTGTGGCCTCGTCCCTCCGTCACACGCTGCGTGGGGACACGGGTGGCGACGGGAATCCCCCGCGTGGGGGTGGCGGCTGTGACGCAGGAGCTGCCGTGTGTCGCGGCGCTGTCACCGCGTGTCACCGCGTGTCCCGGCGCTGTCACCGCGTGTCCCGGCGCTGTCACCGCGTGTCCCTGGCCCTGCGTGTCACCGTGTCCCGCTGCCATCCCCCCGTGCCTCTGCGGTGTCGCGGTGTCCCCGCACCGCGTGTCCCATCGCCCCGTGGCTGTTCCCGCTGCCCCGCGAGGCCACCGCGGCTGGTGGCCCGTGGGGACAGAGGCGACAGGGGCTGTGTCCCGGGGGGGCCGTGGCACTGGGGGACACGTTTTGGGGACGTCCCCGGCGTGTCCCTGTCGCGGTGTGGGCCCCGAGCCGCTGCTCAGTGCTTGGGCAGCGCTGTCCCCCCACACCCAGCCGGGTGTGGGTGCCCTGGGGGTGCCCTGGGGGTGCCCTGGGGGTGCCCTGGGGGTGCGGGGGGTGTGACACGTCCCACCCGTGCCGTGTCTCGTGTCGGCACCCACGGCAGTGCCGGTTCCCGGTGTGTCCCGTGGCGGGGGGGGCTGCCCTGGCCGCGGCAGTGCCGGTTCCCGGTGTGTCCCGTGCCGGTTCCCGGGGCGGTGCGGGGCCGGGGGGGCTGCCCTGGCCGTGGCAGCGGCAGCGGAGCAGCCTGGGAAACATTTCCGCCCCAATAATTCCATCGGCTCCGGCCGAGCGCGGCGGGCGCGCACCGCGCCGGGGCTCCCCGGTACCGCCGGGGCTCCCCGGTACCGCTACCGCCGGGGGTCCCGGGCGCACCATGGCCCCGGGGCCGGGCCGGGGGTGTCCGGGGCAGCCCCGGGCCGGCGGGGGCTGAGCCCCGAGGATGCTGCCCGCGCTCTTGCAGCTGCTGCAGGAGCTCCCGGGCGCGCCCCCGGCGCCCCCCCGGCCCGGGCCGCCCCCCGGGCCCTGCCCCATGCCCGGGGTCCCCCTCTGCAGCGCCCGCCTGGGGCTCCGCCGCGATGGCACCGGGCACGGACAGCGGGAGAAGGTACCGGTACCGCCCCTTCCGCGCCCCCCGGGACCGGCAGGGGGGCGGGGGGGCCGCAGGGGGGGCTCGGAGCCCACCCGGGACCTGGCGGTGGCCGTGGGAGCCTCGGGCCGTGCCCTCGGCGCTTGTTCGGGGGGGCTGGGGGCTTGCAGAAAGCTCTGGCTCTGCGTGACGGGGGCACCCCGCACCCCCAGGGGTGCCCCGGGGCGATGGGGCGGGGGGCAGGGTGCCCATCCCCTCATCCCCTCCCTGTGGGGCAGCTGCAGCCCCACGGTGGGCCTGGAGGGGCAAAGGGGGGGGCAGGGGGACCGTGACCCCCACAGGGCAGAAGGGAGGGGTGACCCCGGTGGGATACAGTTATGGGGGGGCCTTTTCCCTCTCACCTTTGCCGTGGGGCTGTGCGTGGTGATGGACCCTGCAGACCACCCCCAGGTACCCCCAAGATTGAGCGAGACCCCACAGAGACCCCTGGGGTTGTGCCCCCAGGCACCCCCAAGACTGACCGAGACCCCACAGAGACCCCTGGGGTTGTGTCCGCAGGCACCCCCAAGATTGACTGAGACCCCCCAAGATGGACTGAGACCCCACAGAGACCCCCGGGGTTGTGCCCCCAGGACGTGCAGGTGTCCCGCACAGGGACTGGCGTCTGGGGAGGGGTCTGTGTGCCCCCTGACGGGGGTGGCCACGGCTGGGGGCACAGGGCAGCGTCGTGTCTGTGGCTGTGGGGGGTGGGAGCTGCCCTGGTGGGCTCTGTGGGGTCTGTGGTGTGGGGGGCTTTCCCCCCTGTGCCCCCCAGCTCCTGTCCTGGCAGCCCTGGGCACACGTGGGGGTGTCCCTGCACCCCCCATGGCCGTGCCGGGTCCCTCTGCACCCCCAGAGTCTCAGAGCCGAAGTTTGGGAAGGACCTTTAGAACCAGTGTGGACCCAAAGCCCCTGACCCGGGTCCCCCCCTCTCCCCGGGCTGGGGGTCCGCGCCATGCAGCAGCACCGCCCCCCTGCAGCCCCCCATGCCTTTCCTCGCCCTTTTTGGGGTCCCACCGCACCCCAGAGGGTCCCGGAGCTGCTGAAGCTGTAAAGGACCCCCAGAACCAGCGGGTCCAGCCCTGACCCAGCGTGGCCGCTGACCCCCGGCCCCACAGTGCTCGGGGGTTGGGGGACAGGGGCTCCGTGCTGGGGGTGTTGTGTCACCACAGGACACGAGAAGGTACGACACGTGCTGCTGCTATGGTAAAGGTGGGAAAAGGAGTTTATTTTCTGGCTCCAGTATTTATAGTTGTCTAAGGGTGACGGTGGATTGGAGGGTGAATGTTACTTCTCTAATGACGCTGGACAAACCACCAGTACATCAGATTTCTCTGCCTCCACCAGGGAATGTAAAACAATAAGTTATTCACAGAAAGTGTGTGAGAAGGTTTGTTGCAGGAGTGTAAACTCCGAGGGCGTTAGGAAATGTTAAAATTCGGGGTGGCAGGGTCGGGGTGCAGCGCTGAGCCCCGTGTCTGCCCCAGGTGCTGTCCCTGGGCGCCGACGTGCTTCCCGAGTACAAGCTGCAGGCGCCGCGCATCCACCGCTGGACCATCCTGCACTACAGCCCCTTCAAGGCCGTGTGGGACTGGCTGATCCTGCTGCTGGTCATCTACACGGCCATCTTCACGCCCTACTCGGCCGCCTTCCTGCTCAGCGACTCCGAGGAGGCGCAGCGGCACCAGTGCGGCTACTCCTGCAGCCCCCTCAACGTGGTGGACCTCATCGTGGACATCATGTTCATCATCGACATCCTCATCAACTTCCGCACCACCTACGTCAACTCCAACGAGGAGGTGGTCAGCCACCCCGCCAAGATCGCCATCCACTACTTCAAGGGCTGGTTCCTCATCGACATGGTGGCCGCCATCCCCTTCGACCTGCTCATCTTCGGCTCCGGCTCCGAGGAGGTGACGCGGGGACACGGGGACACGGGGGGCGGGGGGCCAGCCCCGGGGGCTGGGCAGTGCCCCCAGTGCTGGGGGGCGTGTCTGGGGGTCATATCTGGGGGTCCCACCTGTGCCCCCAGTGCTGGGGGTTGTGTCTGGGGGTCGTGTCTGGGGGGTCCCCACCTGTGCCCCCAGTGCTGGGGGTCGTGTCTGGGGGTCCCACCTGTGCCCCCAGTGCTGGGGGTCGTGTCTGGGGGTCGTGTCTGGGGGTCCCACCTGTGCCCCAGTGCTGGGGGTCGTGTCTGGGGGTCCCACCTGCACCCCCAGTGCTGGGCTGGGTGTTGGGGGGTGGGTGCTGTTCCTGGGTGCTGGATCCTCCCGTGGGGAGTGCCTGGGGGTCCCGCATGCACCGCCAGGCCAGGACACCACCAGGGCCCCTGGTGACCCCCCTGAACCTCCTTCCTGGACCGCCTTTGCTGTGGGTGGGACAGCGGGGGCTGATACGGGGACAGGGGCAGGGGCTCTTGGCACCCTCTGCCCCTCCGGGGGTCTGTGGGACCCCTCTGGCTCTGCTGTCCTGGTGACCTCCCGTTCCTCCCTCTCCACACACCTTCACCCTGGGGGCACCGGGGCAGGAGGAGACCCCAGAATGGAGGTGCTGGCTTGGGGCAGGAGGAGACCCCAGAATGGAGGTGCTGGCTTGGGGCAGGAGGAGACCCCCAGAATGGAGGTGCTGGCTTGGGGCAAGAGGAGACCCCCAGAATGGAGGTGCTGGCTTGGGGCAGGAGGGAGACCCCCAGAATGGAGGTGCTGGCTTGGGGCAGGAGGACACCCCCAGAATGGAGCTGCTGGCTTGGGGCAGGGACCCCCCACCCTTGTGGGTTCTGGGGGTGTCTCTTCACTGTCACCCCCCACTTTTTCCCGCCCCCAGATAACGATGCTGCCGGGGCTGCCGATGCGGGGAGAGAGCGTGGAACACCCAGGCCCTTCCGGGGGTCCCCGGGGTGCCCCAGCCCCGGTAACCCTTTCCCTGCCGCCCGCAGACCACCACGCTGATCGGGCTGCTGAAGACGGCGCGGCTGCTGCGGCTGGTGCGGGTGGCGCGGAAGCTGGACCGCTACTCGGAGTACGGCGCGGCCGTGCTCTTCCTGCTGATGTGCACCTTCGCGCTGATCGCCCACTGGCTGGCCTGCATCTGGTACGCCATCGGCAACGTGGAGGGGCAGCGCACGGGCTGGCTGCACGCCCTGGGCCAGCAGATCGGCAAGCCCCTCAACGGCACCTTCGGGCCCTCCATCAAGGACAAGTACGTCACCGCGCTCTACTTCACCTTCAGCAGCCTCACCAGCGTCGGCTTCGGCAACGTGTCCCCCAACACCAACTCCGAGAAGATCTTCTCCATCTGCGTCATGCTGATCGGATGTGAGTGCCCGGCCAGGGGGGCGGGGGGTGTGAGGGGCTAGGGAGGTGTGGGTGTGCAGCCAGGTGTGTGTGTGAGCATCTGTGTGTGCAGCCGGGTGTGTGAGAGCCCCATGTGTGCAGCCAGGTGTGAATTCCTGGGCAGAGGGGCGGTGTGAGGGGCTGGGGGAGGTGTGGGTGTGCAGCCAGGTGTGTGAGAGCCCTGTGTGTACACCAGGTGTGTGTGAGCACCTGTGTGTGAGCACCTGTGTGAGCACGTGTGTGTGCACCAGGTGTGTGTGCACCAGGGTGTGTGTGAGTATCTGTGTGTGCACCAGGTGTGTGTGAGCACCTGAGTGTGAGCACCTGCGTGTGCAGCCTGGTGTGAATTCCTGAGCAGAGGGGCGCTGTGAGGGGCTGGGGAGGTGTGTGTGTGCAGCCAGGTGTGTGTGAGCACCTGTGTGTGCAGCCAGGTGTGTGTGAGCACCTGTGTGTGCACCAGGTGTGTGTGAGAGCCCCGTGTGTGAGCACCTGTGTGTGCAGCCGGGTGTGTGCACCAGGGTGTGTGTGAGCCCCTGGGCAGCCCCACCCCAACTCCGGCTCCAGGAGGATCTTCTCCATGTGCCTCAGGCTGCTGCCATGTGAGAGGGCACGGGGTGTGCGAGCACCTGGGAGTGTGCACAGCTGGGTGTGAGTGTGCACAGCTCTGTGTGAGTGTGCACAGCTCTGTGTGAGAGTGCACAGCTCTGAGTGTGTGTGTGTGTGTGTGTGTGTGTGTGTGTGTGTGTGTGTGCGAGTGTGCACAGCTGTGTGTGAGAGTGCACAGCTCTGTGTGAGGATCTGGGGACACCGTGGGTCACACCACCCTGGGTCACACCAGCCCTGGGTCACACCAGCCCTGGGTCACACCAGCCCCATGGAGCCCCCAGGCCGGGCACAGGGGCTGGTGACAGTGTGGGCACAGCCCAGGGCAGGGATTGTCCCCTGTGCTGGCCCTGCTGAGGGACCCCCTGGAATCCTGGGGACAGCTCTGAGCCCCTCCCAGCAGGGGAGCCCTGGAGGGGCTGCAGAGTCCAGGGAATGGAGCTGGGAAGGGGCTCAGCCTGGAGAAAAGGAGAATCAGGGGGGACCTTGTGGCTTTGCACAGCTCCTGACAGGAGGGGACAGCCTGGGGAACAGGGATAGGAGGAGAGGGAACAGCCTCAGGCTGGGCCAGGGTGGATTTTGGGAATGTTCCTCCTGGAAAGGGCTCTCCAGCCCTGGCACGGCTGCCCAGGGCAGGGTTGGAGTCCCCATCCTTGCAGGGATTTAAAATCCCTGTGGATGTGGCACTTGGGGACATGGGACAGTGGTGGCTTAGGCAGCTGAGAATTCCTTTGTGCAGTCTTGGCACCTCAGTGATGATGTCGCCCCTCCATGGCAATGGGGACCTCCATGGCAATGGGGACCCTCACGATGATGGGGTCCAGTGACAGTGGGAACAGGGTGGTGATGGGGACTACTGTGACAGTGGGAACTCCCGTGAGGATGGGGACACTCCCGTGAGGATGGGGACACTCCTGTGAGGATGGGGACACTCCCGTGATGATAGGGACACCCCTGTGAGGATGGGGCACTCCTGTGAGGATGGGGACACTCCCGTGAGGATGGGGACACTCCTGTGAGGATGGGGACACTCCCGTGAGGATGGGGACACTCCCGTGAGGATGGGGACATTCCCATGATGGTGGGGACACTCCCATGAGGATGGGGACACTCCCGTGAGGATGGGGACACTCCCGTGAGGATGGGACCCCCGTAGCAAAGGGCACTCCGTGGTGATGGACACCCCTGTGACGATGGGGACCCCCAGTGACAGTGGGGACCCCATGCAATGGGCACCCTCCACGATGATGGGCACCCCACACTGCAGCCCTGGCAGCAGTGGGGGTTTGGGGAACTTTGTGGGGGTTTTGGGGAGCTTTGTGGGGGTTTGGGGAGTTTTGTGGGGGTTTGGGGGTGCAGAGCCCCCCGACACGTCCCCCCAGCACCGATGCACGGCAGCACCTCGGGAGCAGCTCGGCCACCCCGCGGTGCTGGTGCCTGGGGACACGGGGACCCTGCAGCCCGGCCCGGGGGTGGCAGCGGAGGTTTGGGGGGCTCGGGGGTGCAGAGCCGGCCTGACCCCGCTCCCCCCAGCGCTGATGTACGCCAGCATCTTCGGGAACGTGTCGGCCATCATCCAGCGGCTGTACTCGGGCACGGCGCGCTACCACACGCAGATGCTGCGGGTGCGCGAGTTCATCCGCTTCCACCAGATCCCCAACCCGCTGCGCCAGCGCCTCGAGGAGTACTTCCAGCACGCCTGGTCCTACACCAACGGCATCGACATGAACGCGGTGAGACCCCCAAAAAACCCCCAAAACACCTCAAACCCTGTGGGACCCCTAAACCCCCTGGCCCTCAGCCCCTTCCCAGCACGCCTGGTCCTACACCAACGGCATCGACATGAACGCGGTGAGGCCCCGAGGGACCCCAAACCACCCCAAACCAACCCCAAACCTCCATGGAACCCCTAAACCCCGCCCGGCCCTCAGCCCCTCTCCCAGCACGCCTGGTCCTACACCAACAGCATCAACATGAACGCGGTGAGACCCCGAGGGACCCCAAAACCAACCCCAAAACCCCATGGAACCCCTAAACCCCCCTGGCCCTCAGCCCCTTCCCAGCACGCCTGGTCCTACACCAACGGCATCGACATGAACGCGGTGAGACCCTGAGAAACCCCAAAACACCCCAGAACCAACCCCAAACCTCCCCAAACCCCATGGAACCCCTAAAACCCCTGGCCCTCAGCCTGTCTCCCAGCATGCCTGGTCCTACACCAACAGCATCAACATGAATGCGGTGAGACCCCAAGGAACCCCAAAACACCCCAAAACCAACCCCAAACCACCCCAAACCTCCATGGAACCCTAAATCCCACCTGGCGCCCACCCCCTCTCCCACCATGCCTGGTCCTACACCAACAGCATCAACATGAACGTGGTGAAACCCTGAGGAACCCCAAACCACCCCAAAACCCCATGGAACCCCTAAACCCCGCCCGGCCCTCAGCCCCTTCCCAGCACGCCTGGTCCTACACCAGCGGCATTGACATGAACGCGGTGAGACCCCGAAAAACCCCAAAGCACCCCAAACCTCCAGGGGCCCCCGAACCCCCCTGGCCCCCAGCGCCCCCTCCCCAGTGCCCCCTCCAGCTCTCCTGGTCCTGCCCCAGCGGCATCGACGTGCCCGCGGCGAGACCCCCGGGACCCCCAAAGCTGCCGCAGCCCCGAGCCCCGGGTGGGCCCCCAAGCGCTGTGCCCCGCGGTGACCCCGGTGCCCCGCAGGTGCTGAAGGGGTTCCCCGAGTGCCTGCAGGCCGACATCTGCCTGCACCTGAACCGCAGCCTGCTGCAGAACTGCGCCCCGTTCCGCGGGGCCACCAAGGGCTGCCTGCGGGCGCTGGCCATGAAGTTCAAGACCACGCACGCCCCGCCCGGGGACACGCTGGTGCACGCCGGGGACGTGCTCACCGCGCTCTACTTCATCTCCCGCGGCTCCATCGAGATCCTGCGCGGCGACGTCGTGGTCGCCATCCTGGGTGAGCCCCCGGGGGTCCCGCGGGCCCCGCTGCCCTCGGGTGTCACCCGGTCCTGGTGCCCCGGGGTGCCGCCCCATCTCCCGGAGATCCCCGGTGCTCCGAGGGTGACATCCCGAGGGATCCCCCCATCCCGGGGCCCCCGGGAAAGCCCATCCCGACCCCCGGGGGCTCCCCAGCGCTGTGCACACCCGGAGCGTCCCCCCGGTGACACCGTGGCTCCCGGGCACGCCAAGTGACTCCTGCACCTCCCGGAGCCCCCCAGCTTTGGGGTCACCTTGAGTGTCCCTGGGGGTTCCCCTCAGCCCGGTCCCAGCCCTGAGGTGACCCCTCCGGGTGTCCCCCCGGCTCCCCCAGGGCAGGAGGACACCTCCGGGAGCCGCCGGGGCGGTGCGGGACCCGCGGAGCCCCCGCAGCCCCTGACTGAGCCCCGCACCCCGCAGGTAAGAACGACACCTTCGGGGAGCCGCTGCACCTGCACGCCCGGCCCGGGAAGTCGCGGGCGGACGTTCGGGCACTCACCTACTGCGACCTGCACAAGATCCTGCGGGAGGACCTGCTGGAGGTGCTGGACATGTACCCCGAGTTCTCCGACCGCTTCTGGGGCACCCTCGAGATCACCTTCAACCTGCGCGACGTGAGGGGGGGCCGGGGCAGGGTGGGGTTCCAAAATGGGAGGTCCTGAGCAGGCTGGGAGCTCCAAGTGACCCGGGGAGTCCTGGAAAATTGCTGCTCCTGGGCAAATAAGGGGGTTCGGGGCGGGCTGAGGGGGGTCCTGAGCGGTTTGGAGGGTCCTGAGCAAACTGGGAGGCGTGGGGACGCTGGGGGGGTTCGGGGCAGGTTGTTGAGGGGGTTTGAGCAGTCCTGAGGGACTCTGAGCGAGGCAGGAGAGCCCCGAGAAAGGCTGAGGGTCCTGAGCGGGTTGGGGGGTCCTGAGCAAGGGAGGGGGCGCTGAGCAAACTGGGAGGGGCTGAGAGCTCTGGGGGGTCCTGCAGGAGCGGGAGGGGTCCGGCAGCCCCCCGACCGCGCCCCCCGTGTCCCGCAGACCAACATGATCCCCGGTTCCCCGGGCAGCGACGAGCTGGACGGAGGCTTCTCCCGGCTCCGCCGCCGCAAGCTGTCCTTCCGCCGGCGGCCCGAGAAAGGTGGGGCTCGGGGGGGCCGCGACCCCCGGCGGTGACCCCCGGCGGTGACCCCAGGGTCCCGCGGCCCGGCCCTGACCCGCCGTGTCCCTGCAGATGTCCCCAGTCCCGAGGAGTCCCGGGCGCTGCGGGGCGACGGCGGGGGCGGCCAAGCCCCCGGAGCCCCCCGAGGCCCGGCCGAGTGGGACCCCCCCAGCCCCTCCAGCTGCGGCTCCAGCGATGAGGAGGAGCCCCCCGCGCCCCCGCCGGGGGCCACGGCGCTGTCCCCGTTCCGCAGCGCCCCCGCGGCTCCCCCCGAGCCCGAGGAGCGGGAGGGCAGCGACATGTGCAACCCCCTCTCAGGTGGGTGGGGGGCTCGGGGTGGGGGCGCCCCCTCCTCCCTCCTCACTCGGGGCTCAGAGGACTCCCCAAAACCCTGGCACTGCTGTCCACAGCCCTGCCCCAGCCCCCATCCCCTGTCCAGCGCCCACCGCCGCCCCCCTGTGCCCCCCTCAGCTGGGCCTGGGGAGTCCCCCATTCCTTCCCTCCCCGCCCAGGGTCCTGCAGACTCCCCAAAACCTGCAGCACCCCCTGGCTCCCCACCCCTGACCCCCCTCTCACACCGTCCCTGCAACCCTGGAGCCCTCCAGGTGAAATTTGGGGTGGGGTGGGGGTTCCCCCCTCCTGCTCTCCTCACTCAGCATTCCAGAGCTCCCCCCCAAAACTTGAACCCCCCGTTCTCAGCCCTCCCCCTCAACTGCCCCTGCGCCCCCTCAGGTGGGGATAGGGGTCTCTGGTTGGGCAGGGAGGGTCCCAATCTTGCCCTCCCTGTTTGAGGCTGTGGAGCCTCCAAAAGCCCCAGCCCCCCTCCCCCAGTCCCCTGGATCCCCCAAATCTCCCCCCTCATTTCACAACCCCCCCAAACCCACTCACTCCCCTCTTTTTCCAGGCGCCTTCTCGGGGGTCTCCAACATCTTCAGTTTTTGGGGTGACACCCGGGGCCGCCAGTACCAGGAGCTCCCCCGTTGTTCCCACGGGGCCCCCCCAAATCCCCCCCCGACCCTGACCCGCCGCCAGCGCTCCGACCTGGAATCCCGCTTGGATCTGCTCCAAAAACAGCTCAACAGGTAAATCTGGGGGGCTCAGGTGGGACCCGAGGGGGGCTTAGGCCAGCGGGACCCCATGGGAGCCCCCCCATTGCCAAAGGGGTCTGGAGAACCCCGAGCAGGAAAGAAGGGAGGCCCCCGGGCCGAGCTGAGCCCCCCGAGCCACCTGAGGGATGGGTGGGGCAGGGCTGGGGGTCCTGGGGCCGGTGGGGGGCGGGCCGGGGGTCCCAGGCCTGATGCCCGCGCGGCTGTTGCAGGCTGGAGTCGCGGCTGAGCTCGGACATCTCCTCCATCGTGCACCTGCTGCAGCGCCAGGCGCCGGTGCCCCCCGCCTACAGCGCCGTCACCTCCCCGCACCAGCCCCCGGGGCCGCTGCCCCCCACCCTGCCCATCACCCCCATCCGCCCGCTCGCTCAGGTGAGGGGCCCGGGGGGCACCGGCCGTTTGGGGGTGTTCCCCTGCCGGACCCGCGGGCTGGGGTCAGCCCTGAGCCCCCCAGAATGGGGCTGTGCCTGGTTTGGGGGGCATCCCTTTGTCTCGCTGTCCATCGTGAGCTGGGGTCACCCCTGAGCCCCCCGGAATGGGGGTGTGCCTGGTTTGGGGGGCATCCCTTTGTCACACTGTCCATCGTGGGCTGGGGTCACCCCTGAGCCCCCCGGAATGGGGGTACCGCCCTCCTGCCCCTCAGTGCGGGGGTCACCCGCTGGGGGTGCGGGCAGTGGGGGCACCCCGAGCCCCGCCGCCCCCCACACCGAGCCCCGTTCCGCAGGTGCCGCGCCCCCCGTGCGCCCCGGAGCCCCCGGACGTGGTGCTGCTGCTGGAGCCGCCCCCGCCGCGGCGCCGCTCCCTGCCCGGGGCGCTGCCCCCGCCCGCGGGGACCCCCCCGGGGACCCCCCCGCTCCAGAGACACTGCTCCGACCCCGGCAGCTAATGGGAGCGCCGGGGCGCGGCGGGACCCCGGAGCCACGGGACCCCCGACCCCGGAAAGCGGGACCCCCGGAGCCACGGGACCCCCGACCCCGGAAAGCGGGACCCCCGGAGCCACGGGACCCCCGACCCCGGAAAGCGGGACCCCCGGAGCCACGGGACCCCCGGAGCCCTCGGAGCCCGGGACGTGGGACCCCCGGAGCCCTCAGACCCCGAGGCACGGGACCCCCGGAGCCCAGGACGTGGGAGCCCTGACCCCGGAATGTGGGAGCCCCGCACCCCGGCACGTGGGACCCCCGGCCCCCAGCCCTGCCGCCGCGACCCGGGACCCCCGGAGTCACAGGACCGTGGGAGCCCTGGAGCCCTGGGACCCCCAGCCCCGGAATGTGGGACCCCCAGAGTCCTGGGAGCCCCGCACCCCGGCACCTGGGACCCCCGGGACCCCCGGGACCCCCGGGACCCCCGGAGCCGCAGGACCCCTGTCCCCAGCATGCGGGACCCCCAAAGCCCAGGCCGTGGGGCGTGCAGAGCCCTGGGACCCCTGAGCCCGGAACGGGGGGACACAGATCTCTCAGCCCTGGGGTCCCCGAGCCCCCCCGGGCCCGGCCCACCGGGGCTCCGGCCGCTGCCCCATGGACGCTGCCCTCGGTGCCGGCGGCCCGCGGGGGAACCGGGGGAACCGGGACCCCCCGTTATCCCGCCTCATCCCGGGGCCCCGCCCCGGACTGTCAGACTGTGCTGCTCTTCCTCCTCCTCCTCCTCCTCCTCCTCCTCCTCCTGCTGCTCCCCCCCGAGCCCCGGGGCGGCGGGGAGTGCCCAAATGTGTGTGTGTGTGTGTGCCCAGGTGTGCCCAAGTGTGTGTGTGCCCGGGTGTGTGTGTGCACAGGTGTGCCCAGGTGTGCCCAGATGTGTGTGTGCACAGGTGTGTGTGCACACAGGTGTGCCCAGGTGTGCCCAGGTGTGCCCAGGTGTGCCCAGGTGTGTGCACAGGTGTGCACAGGTGTGCCCAGGTGTGCCCAGGTGTGTCCCCGGGTCCTGTCCCCAGGACGTCGCGTGTGTCGGGGGGTCCCGCTGCGCTGGGACACGCGTGTTGCCCCCCGGTCTGTGTGTGTGTGTCCCCCCGCCGTGTCCCCGCCGTGTCCCCCCCCAGGACCCCCGGTGGCGGCGGGGCCGGCGGGTCCGTGTGCGCCCCTCCGTGTCCCCAGGGACGGCCCGGCTGAGGGGGGGTCGGGACCCTCCGTGTGCCCCCTCCCGTCCTGCTGGGCCGCGTGTCCCCCGAGCCCCCGGCCGCTCCCCGCCCGGCCGGGTGACACCGGCACTGTCACCCACGCACAGGGAGGGGGACGCAGGGCTCGAGGGGCTGCCACTGCCCGGCCACCCATAGCGTGTGCTGTGTTTGTCCCGTGTCACCCCTGCATGTCCCCCCCGCGTAGGTGCCCCCAATAAACCAGACAGAGACCCCCGGCTCTGTGTGTCACCCCCTGGGACAATGACCTCGGGTGTCACCGTGATTAAACGCTGTGACACTGGGGACTGCTTGGAGCATCCTGGTGGCCACGGCATTGGCAGAGACACGGGACAGAGGAGGTGGCGTCACCTTTACTGAGCCCAGCACATGTGACACGTCCCACACCGTGGTGCCCCTGTGGCACTGGGGTCCCGTGCGGTGGCATCACCTTCACTGAGCCCGACAGGCGGTGCCATGTGTCACAATGGGGCTGAGCCGTGCCATGGTGTCCTGGTGGCACCGGCGTCCTCGTGGTGCCAGTGCCAGCAGAGGTGACGTTGCCTTTACCGGCATATGGCACCGTGTGACACCGTGTAGTGTCCCATAGCCCAGGGCCTGGTGGCACCAGTGACCCGCGTGGTGGTGGAAGGGTTGGCATCGCCTTTACTGAGCCTGGCAGGTGGCACGGTGTGACACGTCCCACACCGCGGTGTCACTGGGTCCCACGTGGCGCTGGGGCCAGGGTCAGAGGAGGCGACAGCACCTGGGCCTGGCGTGTGGCAGCGTGTGACACGTGTGACCTGGCAGCAGTGTCCCGTGGCGCTGGGCCCGGAGGTGCCAGCGCAGCCCCGGCTCGGTGTCCCCGCGTCCCCGTCACACCGGGCGGTGCCAGCGCAGCCCCGGCTCGGTGTCCCCGCGTCCCCGTCACACCGGGCGGTGCCAGCGCAGCCCCGGCTCGGTGTCCCCGCGTCCCCGTCACACCGGGCGGTGCCAGCGCAGCCCCGGCTCGGTGTCCCCGCGTCCCCGTCACACCGGGCGGTAGGTGCCGTTGTAGGAGAAGGGCTCGGGGGGCACGCAGGGCCCGGGGCTGGCCGGGGCCCAGCGGCGGATCTGCAGGCGGGAGCAGGCCGGCGGGTCCAGGGGCCGCACGATCACCGGCGCCCGCGACGCCACCGACGGGTCCTCGTTGAAGAAGTTGAAGGGGCGCAGGAAGAAGCCGACGGCGTTGCCGGGGGTGGCCGTGTTGGGGATGTCCTCGGCGTGGGGCACGTGCAGGAAGCCCACGGTCACCCAGGCCACCAGGTCCTGGGGGGACACACCACGGCCTCGGTGGCACCGTGGATCCCCCGCAGGAGCCGGGGCGACCCTCTGGAGCTGGGGAGCCCCCGGAGGTGGCCCCGCTCTGGGGATGAACCCCCCCGGCCCTCAGCAGCCGCCAGCCCCGCGTGCCCAGTGTCCCCCGGCGTCACCTGGTCCTCGATGGTCTCGTTGTCGCGGATGAAGCTCTCGAAGGTGACCGGGGGGTCCCAGGGGTTGTTCTGGCTGTAGATGCTGCTGCTGCTTGGCTCGTTCTCGTGGCGCCGTGTCACGGCCAGGTGGTACCTGCGGCGAGAGAGGGTCAGCGGGGGGCTGGGAGCTCCTGTCCCACCCCGGGGTCAGCCGGGGGGCTGGGGGCTCCTGTCCCACCCCGGGGTCAGCCGGGGGGCTGGGAGCTCCTGTCCCACCCCTGCCCCGGCCCCCCGACCGTGCCACCCACGGCCCAGTCACGTCAGGGGGACACAGGACCGCTGAGGGGCGTGGGGGTCCCCAGCTTTGTGCGCTCCTCAGCTCCTGAGGGGTTCCACAAGTCCAGGGGAATTCCTCAGGTCCCCTGAGGGGTTTCCCAACCCTGGAGGATCCCCAGATCTTGGGAGGATCCCCATTTCCAGGGCTCCCTCATCTCCCACAGCTCCTGGAGACTCTTCGGCTCCCAGGGGTTCCCCAGCCCCGCCAGCCCCCCCGGCCCCGGGGTGTCCCAAACTGCCGCGGGCCGCTGCAGCTCCCAGGGCCGTTCCCAGTTCTGGAGGTTCCCCAGGACCGACCCCAGCCCCAGGGCAGGACGGGGATGTGCCAGGAAGGCGCGACCAGGGCAAGGACGCCGTGCCCCGCCGGTGCCACGGCCGGTGAGGCTGGAGCCCCCGTGGGCCCCGTGCCCACGCCGCGGAACCCCCGGTGCCCACCTGGCCCAGGTGACGCCGCGCTCCTCGCGGCAGCCGCGGGGCAGCACGGGCCCCGCGTGGGAGCTGAGCTGCAGGCGGAGGGTGCGGCGGTGGCCCCAGCGGTTCCGCCGCCGCGGGTTGGAGAAGAGCAGGTACCGGGGCACGGGCCGGTCCAGCGGCAGCGCGGCCTCCCGCTCCCGCCGCCGCGGCTCCCGGTGCAGCCGCGGCTGCACCACGCGCGCCCCCGCGCTCCAGGGGTTGGAGATGTTCTCGAAGCGAATGTCCATCGTCTCGAAGCTGTTCCCGGAGCCTGCGGGGACCGGGTGTCGGTGGAGGGGGCGCGGTGGCACCGCTCCCCGGGGTGTGGGGGTGGGACACCGCCCAGGTGCCGCCCTGGAGGGGTGGGACACCGCAGGGGTGTCACCACGGACGGGGACTGGGACCTCATGGAGATGCCAACACGGAGGGCTGAGATGCCACCCCCCGGAAGACTGTGACCCCACAATCGAGCCGTCGTGGTGGGCTGGGGTCCAGTTTGGTACCCCAGCATGGAGAGGAGGCCCTTCGAGGAGAGGCCACCACAACCACGAGGGGCTGAGACACCGGGAGACGCCCTGGGGAATATCAGCCACGGGGGGCTGGGACTCCTCGGAGATGCCACCATGAGGGGCTGGGACCCCAGGCAGATGCCATCACCCGTGGGGGACCGGGGCCCTGCAGAGATGCCACGGAGGGCCCGAGCCCCAGATGTCACCAGGGCCGGGAGATCCCACTGCCACGGAGGGACGCGACCCTGCAGAGACGCCACCACGGAGGGGATCGTCACCTGGGGGTGCGGGTGGTGCCCAGGTGATGCCACCCTTCCAGAAACAAGGCACCTCGGGCCCTGGAGCCCCCCGTGGGTCCAGCCTCTCTCCCGGCACCCTCCCCTCGGCCAGGGGGTGTCGGGAGCCGTCAGGGCCCTTCACCTGCCACATCCAGGTCCACCTTGTAGTGCACCAGGTGGGTGTGGACGTTGCCCAGGAGGTGGCTGTGCACGCGGCTGCCGTAGCGCCGGCCCTCGGGCGTGTAGAAGGTGGCGTGGATGTAGCCGGTGGCGTGGACCTTGGTCTCCAGGACGCCGTTGGGGTAGAGCAGGAAGTCCCAGATGTAGTCGTAGTTGTAGACGGTGGAGGTGGTCCTGAGCACCAGCGCCCGTCCCTCCAGCCCCGCGTAGAAGTGGAAGCCGCCCTGGAAGTCGCTGTCGAAGTGGCGGCGCAGGGGAACGCCCGTGGGCAGCTCGAAGACGCAGAGGGCGCGGGGGAAGCGCACGGGCCCGTCGGCGTCCAGGAGGTGGTGGGCGTCCAGGAAGGCGGCGGTCTCGGGGCAGTCCACGCCGCTCGCCAGCTCGTAGCTGGAGGCGCCCATGGCCCAGCCCGCGTCCATGTACTTGGTCTGCATGGCGGCGGGCGAGTGGCCGCCGTAGAAGGCGATGGCCTCCTGCACGCTCAGCTCGTAGGCGAGCCGCTGGCCGCCGAAGCGCACGTCGAAGAGCTGCAGGCCGGCGGAGGAGCGCAGCCGGAACGCCAGGCTCCAGCCGCCGTACTCCAGCCGGTTGCCGCGCAGGCGGTAGCGGCGGCCCCGCGGCTCGCACACCTTGGCTCCGTGCGCCTCGGCGCGGCCCCCGCCGGGGAAGCGGCCGCGGGGCTCGTAGCTGGAGAAGAGGCGGCGGGCGGGGGGCTCGGGCAGGCGGGCCAGGGGCAGCGCCCCCCGCGCGTGGCTCTCGGCCAGCTCCCGCACGCTGCCGAAGTAGCGCCCGTTGTACCAGAGGCGCCGCACGGCCCAGCGCCGCGGGTCGGGGTCGCGGTGCTCCAGCAGCACCTCCAGCCCCGCGGGGTGCAGGAAGAAGCCCTCCACGAAGCGCTGGATCACCAGCCAGCTGCGGCGCTCGCCGGGGCCCAGCCCGCGCGGGGCCACGTCGGAGAAGGTGAGGCAGCGGCCGGAGCAGTTCTGGAAGCCGAAGCCGCCGGTGGCTTCGCGCAGCAGCGGCTCCAGCGGGGCCAGCGCGGCCGCCAGCGCCTCGTGCAGCAGCTCGTACTCCCGCCGGGTCATCGGCCGCGCCCAGAACGGCACGGCCCGGCCGCCCGCCAGCGGCAGGGCCCGGTAGGAGCGGGGGCGCGGCAGGGGCCCCACGGCCAGCTCGGTGACGTTGGGCTCCGCCTGCGCCCCGAAGAAGAGCACGACACGAGCCTCGCGCCGCGGCCGCGCCCCGCCGCGCTCCAGGAACCGCAGCGCCGAGCGCTTCTCGGGCGGCAGCAGCTCCGCCAGGAACAGCGAGTTCTTGGCCAGGGGTCCCCCCCGGCTCGGGGACAGCCCCAGCTCCGGCCGCGCCATCAGGAAGGCCCGCACGGCCCGCAGCTCCGCCGGGGACAGGTCGGCGAAGATGGACGCGGGGTCCGGCGGCTCCGTGGAGGGGCCCGAGGAGGCCGCGGTGACCAGCAGGGCCAGCGCCCAGGGCAGCCCCAGCAGCCGCATCCTGGGGGCCGTGGGGACGGGGGTCAGCCCCGAGAGGGGACGGGGCACAGCTGAGCGCCCCCCGCTCCCGCAGTGCCACCATCCCGGCAAAGCTGGGGCGGCCCCCGGGAAAACCGGGGGGACCGAGGCAGGACCCCCCCAGGACAACTGGAACCACCGGGGGGGGAACAGAGGGCCCAGAAAAACCAGGCAGAACATGGGGTGACCCCCAGTGAAACCAGAGGTACCATCGATGTCACCCGGGGAGCTGGGGACACCATGGGGTAACCCCCGAAAAACTGGGTGACCCCAAAAACCTCCCGCCCAGCCCGGAGCCCCTTAGCACCCCCAAAACCCTCTCTCACGACGGCTGTTGAACCCCAGCCCAGCGCTGAACACCCCACGGGGGAGCCCCCAGTGTCAGGACCCCCGAGTGGCCCCCCCCTCGCCGCAGGGAGCCCCCCACGCCCCCCACCCACCTGCGCGGGCTCTGCCGCCCCATCCGAGCAGCGGCGCCGGTCTGTGCCCGGCCCTGGGGCACTGACCCCCCCCCCGCCGGGGCACTGACCCCCCCCCGCCCCCCGGGGCACTGCCCCCTCCCCGCCCCCTCCCCGCCCCTCCCCGCCCCTCCCCGCCCCCCGACCGGCCCGGGGTCACGGCCACCGGCAGGACCGCTGTCCCCGCTGTCCCCGCTGTCCCCGCTGTCCCCGCTGTCCCCACGACCTTGCCCCCCCCGCACCCCCGTCCGCACCTTCGCTGTGTCCGCCGCATCGCGCCCACGCGGGGGGGCGGGGGGAGGGACCCCCGGTACCGACCCCCGGTCCCGACCCCCGGTACCGCCCCCCGCGGGTTAATGATCACCCGGGGGGGGCCCAGAGGCGCCGGGGCCGCCCGGTCGTTGTCCCCCCCCGCGCTGGGGGCGCTCCGAGCGATCCAATTCCGGGGCCGAGGCCAGAGAAGCGCCGGGAAATCCCACGGGAGACGCGGGGGGGGCGGGGCGGGGGCGTCCGGACCCCCCCGGAGCCCCCCGGGCCGCGAACAGCGCCCCCCAAAATCCCCACGGAAAATCCCGCCCCGATCCTCCATCACCGCGGCCGCATCCCGTTCCCATGGCAACGCGTCCCTCGCCCTCCCGCTGCCATGGAAACGGGGCGCCCACCCCCAAATCCGCGTGGAACGGGGTCTGCGACCCCCAAACTCCGCGGCCGCATCCCGTTCCCATGGCAACGCATCCCCGGCCCCGCCCCCCCGAGCGGGGATGAGGGGGTTAAAAACCCAAAAAGGGTCATTGGGTCAAAAGGCACAAAAGGGGTTTTTTAAAAACCCAAAATTCGGGGCAAGTGGTTTTAAAAGCAAAATAAAATGGGATAAATTATTTTAAAAGAAAAAAAAAAAAGAAAGAAAAAAAAGTGGTTTTAAAAGCAAAATAAAATGGGGCAAATGATTTTAAAAGAAAAAAAAAAAAAGAAAGAAAGAAAAAAAAAAAAGTGGTTTTAAAAGCAAAATAAAATGGGATAAATGATTTTAAAAGTAAAAAAAAAAAAATTTAAAAAAAAAGTGGTTTTAAAAGCAAAATAAAAAGGGATAAATGATTTTAAAAGGAAAAAAAAAAAAAAAAGAAAGAAAGAAAAAAAAAGTGGTTTTAAAAGCAAATGTAACCCCAGGAAAAGCCTTTGAAAAGCCCAAGAAATTGTTTCAATATTTTCAATACCCCCGGGATGGGATGGGTTGTTTTAACAGCCAAAAAAACCCAGCATAAGTAATTTTAAAAGTAAAGAATGGGATAAGTGATTCTAGAATGCCCTGGAAATTGGGTGTGTGGTTGTAAAAGCCACAAAATTGGGATTTAAATTGCCCAAAAAAGTCCCAAGATAAGTTATTTTGAAATTTAAAAAAAAAAAAAAAAGATAAGTGATTTTAAAATGGACCCAGAAAAGAGATGAGGTTTTAAAAGCCCCAGAATTGTGGTAAGTGGTTTTAAAAGGAAAAAAAAATTAAAAAGAAAGAAAAACGATAAATGGGTTTTGAAGCAGAAAAAATTGGGATAAGAGGTTTTTCAAAGACCACGAGAAATGGCCTGAGTGGTTTGAAAAGCCCCTAAACCAGGAAAAGTGGATTTTGAAGTCCCAAAAAATAGAACAAGTGGTTTGAGAAGCCATTAAAAAATCGTCTAGGAAAAGTCATTTTTAAAGCCAAAAAAGGGGGAAGAGAGGTTTTAAAGGCTCAGAAGAATGGTGGAAGTGGTTTTAAAAGCATGGAGGGGAAAAGCAACACAGGAGAAATATTTCTTTGCAGCCAAAAGAACAAAAAGTGACAAGTATTGAAACAAAAAAAGGGAAGAGGTAAGTGATTTAATAAATCAAAAAAAAAATCGAGATAAGTGGTTTTAAAGCTAAAAAAATATCGGAGGATATATTGTTTATAAAACATTTTTTAAAAGGATAATTAGTTTTGAAAGTCTCTAAAATGGGAAAAGTGATTTTTAAAGTGAAGGGGAAAAAATTAAATTATTTTAAAAGCAAAAGAAACCTTCAGGATAAGCAACTTTAAAAGCAAAAAAAATGTCAAAGCCTCCAAAATGGTGATACCTTTTTAAAAGGCTCCTGAAACTGGGGAAAAGAGAGGAGAGGAGAAAAGAAAGAAAAAGAGAAAGGAAATAAAAACTGCTTTTAAAGCAAAAAAACCACCAGGGACAAGTGATCTAAAAGCCCCAGAAAATGGGGTCAGTGTTTAACACACATCCTCCCCCAATATAGGAATAAATAATTTTAAAAGGCAAAACGTAAACGGGATTTAAGTGAATTCAAACCACAGAACCGGGAAGAGGCTCCAAAAAGGCCCCAAAGGTGGGAAAAGGCCCCCAAAGCTCAGATGAATTATTGCCAAAGCCAAACTCGAGGCAAAATTGCTCCTAAGAGTTCCCCAAAAATGGAATCATTTGTTTTAAAAGCAAAAAACTGAATAAAGGGTATGAGCAGTTTTCAAAAGAACAAAAACCCCAAAACGAGAGGCTTTAAAAGGAAAAAAAAAAAAAAATTTAAGTGGTTGAAGGGGCTTTAAAAGCTTTGAGAATAGCAGGAGTGGTTTTAAACAAAAAAAAATCCCAGGTAAGAAATAGAAAAGCAAAAACGTCTGGGCCGAGTTGTTCTGGAGGCCTCCAAAATATGAAAATACATGTTAAATGCATGGACTGAACATGGTTAAATACAGGTATTAAAATACACATTAAATGCATGGAATGAACACAGTTAAATATGAAAATACATGTTAAATGCATGGACTGAACATGGTTAAATACAGGTATTAAAATACATATTAAATGCATGGACTAAACAGAGTAAAATATGAAAATACATGTTAAATGCATGGACTGAACAGAGTAAAATATGAAAATACATGTTAAATGCATGGACTGAACACGGTTAAATACAGGTATTAAAATACACATTAAATGCATGGACTAAACACAGTTAAATATCAAAATACATGTTAAATACACATACCAAACACAGTTAAATATTAAAATACACATTAAATGCATGGACTAAACAGAGTAAAATATTAAAATACATGTTAAATGCATGGACTGAACATGGTTAAATATAGGTATTAAAATACACATTAAATGCATGGACTGAACACGGTTTTAAATGCACATATTCAACATGGTTAAATATTAAAATATATGTTAAACGCATGGACTAAGCATGGTTAAATATAGGTATTAAAATACATGTTAACCATACTAAACATGGTTAAATATTAAAATACACATTATATTAATATATTAAACACAGTTAAATATTCAAATACATGTTAAATGCATAGACTGAACATGGTTAAATATTAAAATACATGTTAAACACATGTATTAAACATGGTTAAATATTGAAATACATGTTACATGCAGGTATTAAACATGGTTAAATATTAAAATACTATTAAATACACGTATTAAACAGAGTTAAATATTCAAATACACGTTAAATATACAGATTAGCATGTTAAATATAGGTATTAAAATACACGTTAAATGCACCTAGTAAACACAGTTAAATATAGGTATTAAAATACTCGTTAAATACACGTACTAAACACAGTTAAATATTCAAATACACGTTAAATACACATGCCAAACACAGTTAAATATTAAAATACACATTAAATGCATGTACTAAACACGGTTAAATATCAAAATACACGTTACATGCACACATTAAACATGGTTAAATATTAAAATACACATTAAATGCACAGACTAAGCATGGTTAAATATAGGTATTAAAATATATGTTAAATGCACGGGCTAAACACAGTGAAATATAGGTATTAAAATACTCATTAAATACACATATTAAACACAGTTAAATATTCAACTACATGTTAAATACACATATTAAACATGGTTAAATATTAAATACACGTTACATGCAGGGACTAAACGGCTAAATATTAAAATACATGTTAAATACATGTATTAAACATGGTTAAATATTGAAATACCTGTTACATGCAGGTATTAAACATGGGTAAATATTAAAATACACGTTAAATACATGTAATAAACATGGTTAAATATTAAAATACACACTACATGCAGGTATTAAACACAGTTAGACATGGGAGGTGTGAGGGGTTATGGGGTGTGAGGGGTTATGGGGTGTGAGGGGTTATGGGGTGTGAGGAATTTGGGGATATGTGAGGAATTTGGGGATGCGTGAGGCATTTTGGGGTCTGAGGGGCTCCGGGGTGTGAGGGTTATGGGGTGTGAGGGGTTATGGGGTGTGAGGGGCTATGGGGTGTGAGGAATTTGGGGATGTGTGAGGCATTTTGGGGTCTGAGGGCCTATGGGGTGTGAGGCATTTGGGGATGTGTGAGGCATTTTGGGGATGTGTGAGGCATTTTGGGGTCTGAGGGCCTCCGGGGTGTGCGTCGCTGTGGAGCTCTGAGGGGCCCAGGAGCTGAAATGTTCCCCACTCTGTCCTGTGGGATGTGGGTGCAATATTTACATTTTTATGCACAGAAGTTCTCACAGAAAACACAAAGCACACAGGCTTTTCCTTTCAGACCTATAGAAAATCTTTTCCTATAAGGGATGCAGTTTTTCCTTCGGGCCTGCGCTCTGCCGGGGCCGGGGATCACGGCTGGGGTTCAGTTCTGACCCAAACCAAAAGCTGTGGCTTGGCTGTCCTTGAGGCTGTAAATCAAATGTATTCCTTTTCAAACCTAGCTGATGCTTTTCCTGGCCCGTTTTTAATGTCAGTGCTAACTGCCCCATCCCACCCCACCCCACCCCACCCCATCCCATCCCATCCCATCCCATCCCATCCCATCCCATCCCATCCCATCCCATCCCATCCCATCCCATCCCATCCCATCCCATCCCATCCCATCCCATCCCATCCCATCCCATCCCATCCCATCCCATCCCATCCCATCCCATCCCATCCCAAATACGCATCAATTGTCACACCAACTCCCAGTTCGGTTGGATTTTCTGATTCTTCACTGGTTGAAACAAAAGTATGAACCCATAAGATAAAAGTTTTTCTGGCATTATTCTCTCTTTTTCAATAAAAAGGCAAACTAAAATCAGCAAAAAGCAAATTAACAGCACACAAAATGGTTTGGTTGACATAATTCTGTAAATATTTGGTCTCCCAACAGGTTGCTCTGGATGAAAACAGGAACAAATCACCAAATCCAATAAACTGATAACACAAACGATGGTGGGGAGGTTAAAATCCCAGCGGGTTCTGCTCCTGTAAAAGGGGAAGCGAAAGTTCGACCTGCTACAGACGGATCATTATAAAAGAAAAAACAAAATAAACAAACAAAAAGGGCACAATCCAGCGCGGGTGTTGGTTCCGTTTCTATTTCCCAGCGAGTTCCAGTTCTGTTCCTCATTAACTGCCCAATTAGTTACCTGCCCACGCCAGGCACCGATCCCGGCTGGGCCCTTCGGGGCTCCCAGAGATGGGATGTGGGAACCCAGAGCCTCCCTCTGGCTGCCCTGGGACCCTGGCAGGGGTCAGGAACCCCCCTGGACAGAGCCCCCAGAGACACTGGCTGTGATCTCTGTCCATGGAAAAGAGTTTTCAATCTTACAGGATGAATTACAAGCTCTGAGTGTTTGATATCAGTAATAATTAAGTGTGGCACAGGTGCAAAAGTAAAATTTTAGGTTTCTAGATTAGGGGTTCAGAGGGGACAAGATGGAGGAAATTGGGTGTGCCTTGTCCTTTTTCTCCTACTTCATGCCCTCCATGTTTCACTGTGGTGTTGGCATTTTTCTGTTGGTTCAGGCTGGGGACACACTGTCCAACGTAGGTGACAGATATTGGCACGTTATTGTAAATCCAGCACAGGTAGTTTGTGGTATTTAATGTTTGTACCATCCCACTGAGGGCAGAGCCCCACACGCTGCCCTGCAGGACAGAGCTGCGGCAGGGCAGCAGAACATGTTAGAGATAAACAGAATAAACAACCTTGAATCCCGGGATCATCAATACCTCAGATTCCGACCCGTGCCCTGCTCCTGGCTCCCATCCAGCTGTGCCCAGCTGTGGCACAGAGCAGCTCTGGTGCTCCCCGGCTCCAAACCCCCGGGTCCCACCGTCCTCATCCTGCACTCGGAAGGTTCTGGATTTTCTCCCTCCAGAGCAACCCTGTCCAGCTCTGTGGGGCCCGAGTGTCACAGGGGCAGCACCAGTGGTGAACCCAGTGGGAAGGAATGACCATGTCTGACTCAGTTCAGAAGGCTGAATTATTTCTTTGTTATAACTATGCTAAAATACATTAATATGCTATATAAAAGGAGGATCCTAAAACTATCCCTTTGGTCACTGACCCCTAACACTTCCCCAGAATCCAATCCAGCTGCTGAGAGCCACAGCTGGGTCTGTTGGTCACTGACCCCAAACACTTCCCCAGAATCCAATCCAGCTGCTGGGAGCCCGAGCCACAGCTGGATCCGTCGGTCACTGACCCCAAACTCTTCCCCAGAATCCAGCCCAGCCATCCCTGCAGTGAACGATCTCCACACCACATTGCACACGGGCAGAACCAAGGAGCAGAGACAAAGATTGGTTTCTCTCCTCCTCTCTGGGCACTCCCGAGAGGCAGAACGGTGTCTGTCTGTCCAGAGAACGGGACTGTCCCACTCCCCGCTCTGCTTGTTCCTGCCAGCCCTGCTGGGCAGCGTCTGACCCACACTCCTTCCAGGACCCACGCTCCTTCCAGGACCCACGCTCTTTCCAGGACCCACACTCCTTCCAGGACCCACACTCCTTCCAGGACCCACCTTCCAAAGAGGTTTGAAGCTTTCCCAAAGCTTTCCTTGCCTCCCCCTGGACAGAAGGTGGTGTTTGCCTTCCCTGGCTGCCTTCAGGTTTGGGGGGAGCCTGCCCAGCGGGGTCACTGTGACCCCACAGTGATCAGCCGGGGGGTCACAGCGTTCCTGCAGCCCCCGGGTTCCTTCTGCTCCTCTGAGCCCTGAATGCCCCAACGCCCTTTGGTTCAGGTGCTGCATGTTGAATTCCCCATCCCAGAAAGATCTGCGAGCATCCCAATTTCCAAACAGGCCTCTCCCAGCCAGGGACTGGGAATGAGGCAGATACACAAATCGGTCCGTCCCTGTCCCCGGGGTTTTCTTGATTTAAATGTCAATGTTTGGAACAAAGGCCCCTTCCCTCCCTTCCTCCCTGCCGCACCCACAGCAGTTCCCAGCTCAGTTGTGCTCTGCAGGAGTTCAACACCGAATAAATTCTTCCTGCATCAATTCCAAATGTACCTTTTCTTTCCCCATCAGTCATTGCCAGGGGCTCACTGAGGATGATCCCCCGGTCCCCATCGGGGGATTCTCCATCTCCATCTCAGGAGCCCGATGGTTTGGAGGGACGGGTTTGGGGTTCCTGTCTGGGGGGACATTCCCTTTTCCAATGTCCCCATTTCTTCACAAATTCAGCCAAAATTCTTACAGCACTCCACCCACTGTATCCCAGCGAGGGCATTGTCCCCAATTTCCCCCAAAGCTTCCAGAGGCATCCTAGGGGGAATTCTCTCCAGAATCCCTCTTTTCACTGCATGAGCCACTTCCCAGTCAAACTGTGTCATTCCAAAGCTACTCCCAGCCAGGAACATTCCAGAATGTGCCATTCCAAACCCATTCCCAGCCAGGAACATTCCAGAATGTGCCATTCCAAACCCATTCCCAGATGGGAACATTCCAGAATGTGCCATTCCAAACCCATTCCCGGCTAGGAACATTCCAGAATGTGCCATTCCAAACCCATTCCCAGATAGGAACATTCCAGAATGTGCCATTCCAAAGCCATTCCCAGCCAGGAACATTCCAGAATGTGCCATTCCAAACCCATTCCCAGCCAGGAGCACTGGGCTTCCCTTGGGAAGGTGCCGTGGGCCCTGAGGATCCCAGGGAAGTGGAGGAAGGAGGAAATGTCCTTCAGGGCCCGGCTGCCACCCCGGGTGTCAGAGTCCCACAGATCCAGCCCGGCCTCCCTCTCCCTCCGGAGCTCAGCCCCAGCCATGGAATTCCCGGGATTTTTGGCACTGAGGAGCTTCAGCCCCACAAACTCCCGTCCTTGGCGGCACCTCAGCGTCCCAGCCCCGCTGGAATTTCGGGAATTTAATTGGGAAAATGTCTCCCGGCCTCGTGATCTTCTCTGAAAGGGAAAAAAAAGAAAGAGCAAAGAGAAACTGGGGAATTTTCCCGGTGATTTGGGTCCCCAGCACAAAGGACCGGGCCCGGTGCCTCCCCCCGTGTCCTTTCGGCTCCACGTGCGCTCCCGGCACCTCCAACTGGGACATCCCAAAAAAGCCACGGGGCCGCGGCGCTGTCGCAGCCGGGGGTGGCAGGGAGGTGACAGCGCAGGGAGCGCCGGGTGGCAGCTCTGGCAGCAGCCGCGGGGGCACCGAGGGGCATTGGGCGGCGTTTTGGGGATGTTTGGGGCATTTTCACCCCGGAAAGAGCCGTCCGGCCCCGGGGGTTTAAAAGCCGCGTGGATGTGGCACTGACAGTGGGGCCACTGTCAGGGGTGGCCTCGGGGGACAGGGACACCGGGGACACCGGGGGTTCCCAGCTCCGCAATTCCCGGCCCGCGGTGTCCCAGTTCCCGCAGCGCGTCCCGCCCCCGCTCCAGGAGCTGTCCCCATTCCCGGGGAACGCCACCATCTGTCCCCAGCCCGGGGCCACCCGGCCGGGGACATTCCCAGCGCGCCCCGTGCGGAGCTCCCGGCCAGGAGCATTCCAGAATGTGCCATTCCAAACCCATTCCCAGCCAGGAACATTCCAGAATGTGCCATTCCAAACCCATTCCGGGCTGGGAACATTCCAGAATGTGCCATTCCAAACCTATCCCTGGGTAGGAACATTCCAGAATGTGCCATTCCAAACCCATTCCCAGCTGGGAACATTCCAGAATGTGCCATTCCAAACCCATTCCCAGCCAGGAACATTCCAGAATGTGCCATTCCAAACCCATTCCCAGCCAGGAACATTCCAGAATGTGCCATTCCAAACCCATTCCCAGATGGGAACATTCCAGAATGTGCCATTCCAAACCCATTCCGGGCTAGGAACATTCCAGAATGTGCCATTCCAAACCCATTCCCAGCCAGGAACATTCCAGAATGTGCCATTCCAAACCCATTCCCGGCTAGGAACATTCCAGAATGTGCCATTCCAAACCCATTCCCAGCCAGGAACATTCCAGAATGTGCCATTCCAAACCCATTCCGGGCTGGGAACATTCCAGAATGTGCCATTCCAAACCTATCCCTGGGTAGGAACATTCCAGAATGTGCCATTCCAAACCCATTCCCAGCTGGGAACATTCCAGAATGTGCCATTCCAAACCCATTCCCAGCCAGGAACATTCCAGAATGTGCCATTCCAAACCCATTCCCAGCCAGGAACATTCCAGAATGTGCCATTCCAAACCCATTCCCAGCCAGGAACATTCCAGAATGTGCCATTCCAAACCCATTCCCAGCCAGGAACATTCCAGAATGTGGAATGCAGCTGCCCCCGGGTGTGCGGATCTTCCCCCACCCCCGCGCTGGGTCCCCCCCCCTCCACAGCTTTAACTCATTTCTGCCTGAACTCGGAGTTTTGGCATTTATTTATTTGGGGGAGGGGGACACTGGGGTCCTCCTGCTGTCACAAGAGCCCTGTCATGGTTCAGCCATGACAGAGAGCCCAGAGGAGTCTCCTTCCTCCCTCCCTCCCTCCCTCCCTTCCTCTTCTTCCCTCCCTGCCCTTCCTCCTAAAATAAATAAAATTTAAAGGGAATAAATAGAATAGAAATTAATAGAATTAAATGGAATAGGCAGGACAGAATGGAGAAGGAGAACCGGAGTAAGCATAATAACAACTGGAATAACTTAAATAGAATAAAATAAAACAGAAAGAATAATAAATGACATAGAAAAAATTTAAAATAAATAGACTTAAAGAAACTTCCGGCTTTAAATACGAAGAGGGGGCAGGGCACTGCCCCAGAGGTGGAACTGGCAGGGACTGGGCAATGCCCGGGAGGGACATTCCAGGATCCAAAGGCACTTCAGTGTCTGAGGAGAACGCGGAGAAACATCCCAGAGGGACTTCCCAGGGTTCCAAGATACTTGGAGGTCCCAGGGCACACGGAGAAGCATCCCCGGGGGATTTTCCCAGGTGCAAAGGTAACATGGAGAACCATCCCAGCAGGTCTGCGAGAACTGGGAAGCACCGGAGGACATTCCAAAGTCCAAAGGGACACGGAGAAGTTCCTGGAGAGACCTTCCGAGGCGCGAAAGGCACATGGAGAACCGTCCCAGAGGGACCTCCCAAGGTCCAGGGGGACATGGGGAAACATCGCAGCGACTTTGAGATCCAAAGGGAACGCAGAGACACATCCCGGAGGGGTTTCCCGAGGGCTGAAGGGACACGGAGAAGTCTCTGCGTTCCAGAAGCCTCCGGGGCTGCCCTGGGTGGCCACGGCACCGGCGAGGTCACATCCACCGGAGCACCGGGACGGCCCCGGTCCTGCAGCTACTGCTGCTCACCCGCCGGGAGGTCCCTGTCCCCGAGGGCTTCCCCAGCCCTGAGCAGGTCCCGGTGCTCGAGGGGGTCCCTGTCCCCAAGCACGGCCCTATCTCTGCGGGGGTGCCTCTCCTTGAGCAGGTCCCTGTCCCTGAGGGGTTCCCTGTCCCCACAGGGTTCCCTGTCCCTGTCCCTGAGGGGTTCCCTGTCACCACAGGGTTCCCTGTCCCTGTCCCTGTCCCTGAGGGGTTCCCCGTCACCACAGGGCTCCCTGTCCCTGTCCCTGTCCCTGTCCCTGTCCCTGTCCCTGTCCCTGTCCCTGTCCCTGAGGGGTTCCCTGTCCCCACAGGGCTCCCTGTCCCTGTCCCTGTTCCTATCCCTGAGGGGTTCCCCGTCCCCACAGGGTTCCCTGTCCCTGTACGGTTCCCTGTCACCACAGGGCTCCCTGTCCCTGTTCCTGTCCCTGAGGGGTTCCCTGTCACCACAGGGCTCCCTGTCCCTGAGGGGTTCCCTGTCACCACAGGGTTCCCTGTCACTGTCCCTGTCCCTGTCCCTGTCCCTGTCCCTGTCCCTGTCCCTGAGGGGTTCCCCGTCACCACAGGGGCTCCCTGTCCCTGTTCTTATCCCTGAGCATGTCCCGGTCCCCACAGGGTTCCCTGTCCCTGTCCCTGAGCATGTCCCCAAGGCCTCGGGGCTCCCTGTCCCTAACTCTATCACTGTCCCTGTCTCTATTGCTCAGGGGGTCCCTGTCCCAGCAGGGCTCCCCGTCCCCATCCCTACCCCTATGTGTATCCCTATCCCTGTCCCTATCCCTGTCCCCCCAGGGGTCCCTATCCATGTCCCTGTCCCTGAGTGAGTCCCTGTCACCGCAGGGGTCCCTGTCCCTGAGCAGGTCCCTGTCTCTGCAAAGGTCCTTATCGCTGTCCTTGTCCCTACGGGGGTCCCTGTCCCTGCTGGGGTCCCTGTCGCTGTCCCCGCGGGGGTCCCTGTCCGCACCGTGGTCCCTGTCCTCGCTGGGGTCCCTGTCCCCGCGGGGGTCCCTGTCCCTGTCGCTGTCCCCGCGGGGGTCCCTGTCCCTGTCCCCGTCCCCACAGGGGTCCCTGTCCCTGTCCCCACAGGGGTCCCTGTCCCCGGGGGGGTCTCTGTCCCTGTCCCCGGGAGGGTCCCTGTCCCTGTCCGCACGGGGGTCCCTGTCCTTGTCCCCGCGGGGGTCCCTGTCCCCGGGAGGGTCCCTGTCCCCCCGGGGGCCCTGGCCGCGGGCCCGGCAGTGCCGCCGCGTCCTGCGGTGGGCTCTGAGCGTGGCGGGGGAGGCGAAGGCGCGGCCGCAGCGGGCGCAGGGGAAGCGCCGCGGGCCCGAGTGCGCCCGGCGGTGCAGCAGGAGGTGCCCGCGGTGCGGGAACACGCGGCCGCACTCGGGGCACGCGTGGGCGCGCTCGGCGGCGCGGTGCCCCCGCAGGTGCAGCTCCAGGCTCTCCCTCCAGCTGAAGCTGCTCCCGCAGCGGCCGCACTCGAAGGGCCGCTCCTCGCCCGGCCCCGCCGCGCCCGCCCGGTACCGGCGGCCCGGGGGCCGCGCCCGGTGCGCGTCGCGGTGCCGCAGCAGGTCCCCGCGCAGGCAGAAGCTGCGGCCGCACTCGGCGCAGCCGTGCCGGGCCCGGTTCCCCCGCCGCAGCTTCTTGTGCGCCAGGAGGCTGCGGCGGTGCCGGAAGGATTTGCCGCAGGTGCCGCACGGGTACGGCCGGTCCGGCTGCGCCTCGGCCCCGCCGCTGCCGCCCGGGACCCGCCGGGGCACGGCCCGGCCGCGGCCCCCGCGCTCGGTGGCACGGCGGCCGGAGCGGGGGACACCGGCCCCCGGTTCCCGGCGTCCCTCGGCGACATCCTTGGTGTCAGAACCGCTCGAGGCACCTGCTGGGAGCGGAGCGTCACCGGGGCAGTCCCGGCCCCACCGCCCTGTGACACCGCGGGGCACTCCCAACCCGGTCAGGGGGTGTCACACGGGGCCAGGGCCCGCCCCTCGCCCCCCAGCGCCCCCCCAGCCCCACAGGGTACCCCCGGGCACTCACAGGTGTCGCTGGTGTTGGTATCTCCGCTGTGGCCCCCAGCGCAGGGAGCCCCCCCGTGGGACTCCTCCTTCATGTGGGTGAACTTGGAGTTGGGGTCTGTGTGGGAGGGAGGGTCCTCAGTGCCCCCCGCAATGCCCGGGAGGGGCACGGTCACCGGGAATGGTCACCAGGCCGGGGTACCGCTGCCGGGGTACCGCTGCCGGGGTACCCGGTGCCGGGGTACCCGGTGCCCGAGCCCCGCTCCGCACGCAGAGATGGGGTGAGCTCTGCGGGGCCATCGGGCTGCAGAGCCCCGGCTCAGCCTCCGCACCCCCAGCTCGGCCTCGGAACCCCCGCCGTGCACCCCGATCCCTGGCTGAGCCTCTGAACCCCGACCGAGCCCTCAGACCCCCCAGCCAACCCCCCAAACCCCGGCTCAGCCTCCGGACCCCCAGCTCAGCCTCTGAACCGCCCCCCTCAGCTGTGTCCCCAGCCCTGGTCACCCCCAGCCTGTGGCACCCCCTGCCCTCGGCACCCCCAGCCCCGTGACACCCCCAGCCCCATGGCACCCCCAGCCCTGGGCACCCCCTGCCCGTGGCACCCTCTGCCTGTGGCACCCCCAGCCCGTGGCACCCCCATCTCCATGACACCCCCAGCCCTGGTCACCCCCTGCCCTGGGCACCCTCAGCCCCGTGGCACCCCCTGCCCTGGGCACCCCCTGCCCTGGGCACTCCCAGCCCCGTGACACCCCCAGCCCGTGGCACCCCCAGTCCTGAGCACCCCCAGCCCTGGTCACCCCCAGCCCCATGGCAGCCCCTGCCCAGAGCACCCCCAGCCCCGTGACACCCCAGTCCTTGGCACCCCCAGCCCCGTGGCACCCCCAGCCCCATGGCACCCCCTGCCCATGGCACCCCCTGCCCGTGGCACCCCCAGTCCTGGGCACCCCCAGCCCTGGTCACCCCCTGCCCGTGGCACCCCCAGCCCCATGGCACCCCCAGCCCGGTGCACCCCCTGCCCTCGGCACCCCCAGCCCCATGGCAACCCCAGCCCCATGGCACCCCCAGCCCCATGGCACCCCCAGCCCCATGACACCCCCATCCCCGGTGCACCCCCATTCCCGGTGCACCCCCATCCCCACGCCGCCGGCCCCTCACCCAGGCTGGCCACCAGGTCGTAGTTGTCGCCCATGACCTCCCGGTGCAGCGCCCGCTGCCAGGGCGCCAGCTGCGCCCACTCCTCGGGGGAGAAGGACACGGCCACGTCCTCGAATGTCACCTCGGGGGGCAGCCCCTGGCAGGGACAGCGGGGGGCTCACGCTGGGCACGCCCGAGCCCCGCCGCTCCTCACCGGAGGCGTCGGGACGGCCCCGCCAACCCCCCGTTCCCCTCCGCGGGACCCCCGGAGCCCCCCGCCCCGGGGCAGGGCACGGCGCCGCTGCCCGCCCGGCCCCGGGCACGGCCCGGGCTCACCCGCTGCATGGCCGGCGGGGCCGATGGCGGCGGCGGAAGGGGCCGGGCTGGGATCCGGTCCCTTCCCCGTGCCCGGTGAGCCCGGGATCCGGTCCCTTCCCCGTGCCCGGTGAGCCCGGGATCCCGCCCCTTCCCCGTGCCCGGTGAGCCCGGGATCCGGCCCCTCCCCCGTGCCCGGTGAGCCCGGGATCCGGCCCCTTCCCCGTGGCTGGTGGGCACCGGGATCCGGCCCCTTCCCCGTGCCCGGTGAGCCCGGGATCCGGCCCCTTCCCCGTGCCCGGTGAGCCCGGGATCCGGTCCCTTCCCCGTGCCCGGTGAGCCCGGGATCCGGCCCCTTCCCCGTGCCCGGTGAGCCCGGGATCCCGCCCCTTCCCCGTGCCCGGTGCCGCCCGTGTGCCCAAACCCCCCAGAACCCACCCGGTGTCCCCAGCCCGGGCAGGGGGAGCACGGCCACACGCCTGGCCGGTGGCACCGGGTGTCTGTGTCCCAGTCGGTGCCCGCAGTGTGAGACCCCCCCCAGTCTGTCCCCAGGGAGCACCGGGGCGTCGGTGCCACCCCCGTGGACGTGACAGTGCCCCCGGGGCTGGCCTGGTGGCCACCCTAACGCTGAGCTCTCACCTGGTGTGCGGGTGAGGGTGGCGGTCACAGAGCACACTGTCCTGGCACTGTCCTGGTGCCCCCTGGCCATGGACGAGGGCACAGAGCCTTTCCCGGGGCTCAGGCCAGGACTGGGGCTGCAGAGAGACCCCCGTGTCCCCCCCAGTCCCAGACAAAGCCTGGAGCCCCAGAGCCATCAGAAGCTTTTATTTTAAATAACCTCAAAAAATAGAATTGCAGAGAGCAGAGCTGGGGGAGGGGACTGGGGTGGGACCCCCGCCCAGCCGGTGGCTGTCCCGGTGTCCGATTCCCTTTGGGATGAAGCAATGGCAGCTCCCGGCGGTGTCTGCGGCCGAAGCTGCTCCCCAGACCGTGGATGCCCGGCTCTGTCACGCCGAGGGGACAGGGAGAGGCCACCCAAACCCCAGCAAAGCGCCCCTGTGCCGCTGGAGCCTCCACAGCCCCACCACCACGACTCTCCAGCGGCCACCCCAGCGTCACCCATCCCAAACCGCAATATTGAGTCCCGAAGCGCGCAGTTACCCAGAGCAAGCAGAAGCACAAGCTGCCCCCCATCCCCCCGGCTCCGGAGGCGTCTCCGGGGCCCTTCTGGAAGCAGAGCTGAGCCCTTCCAGGCCCTTTTCCTGGCTGTTTTCCCAGTGCGCTCCCAATTCCTCCACGTGGAGCTGCACCGGGGACCCCGGGAGCTCACCGCAGCAGGGCAGGCCCAGCACTGCCACCCCGGCCGTGTCCTCAGGGAATGCCAGTCCGGAACAGGCTGGAAGGTTCTGGAAGCAGAGGGAACCCTTGAGGGCCCCTCTTGTCCCAAGTCTGGCTCCAGTGGCTGCAGCTCCACCGTGCCCAGCCCTTCCTGGTGCGTGTGGCTGGAGCCCACACGCAGATCCGGGTCCAGCACTGTCTCCTCCAGCCCTTTGCTGGCTGCCCAGGGCAAAGTGTGCCATGTCCCAGGCTGGCTGTGCACAGGAGTCCCAGTGCTGAATCCAGCTGGCGGTGTCACCTTGGCACCGAGCCCTCGGCTCCGTCCCTTTGGCTCTGTCCTTTGGCTCTGTCCCTTTGGCTCCGTCCCCTCGGTCTGTCCTTTGGCTCGGTCCCCTCGGCTCCATCTCCTCCAGGCTCCCTGCGGGTGAGCGCAGCAGCCAAGGGCCGGTCCTTGCCGGGGTGTCCCGGTGGGGGCTCCGGTGCGGGGATCCCGGCAGCCGGGGCGGGGCGGGGGTCCTGGTGCGGGGGTGTCAGCGCGGGGGTCGCGGGCAGCGGGGCGGGTCCCGGGGCTCACAGGCAGCCGGGACACGGGGCCGGTTTCTCCTCGCCGCACTCCCGCTCGGGCGCGGCCGGCGCTCGCTTCTCCTCGAAGGCCCGAGCGCAGCCGCCGGCCTTGGCCCAGAGCTGCCCGCGGGGAGGCTCGGGAGGGCGGGGGGCCAGGCAGGCGGCGCAGCAGCACGGCGGGGGCAGCCCCGGCGCCCGGGGGCTCGGGGCCCCCCCGGGGCACTTACAGGGGGGCACCGGGGCGGCGCCGGGGCCGGGGGGCGGCTCGTCCTGCATCAGCTGCAGGAGGATGTCGGCGGCGCCCGAGGGGCTGTCGGGGCGCGCGGGGGGCGCCCCGCGGGAGCAGGGCGGCAGCAGCAGCGCGGGGGGCTCGGGGCCCTTGGCCAGCGGGTCCCCGGCGGCGCAGGGCGCGTTCAGGCCGGCGCCGTGGGTGCGGCGGTGCCGCAGCAGGTGAGCCTTCTGGCTGAAGCCCTTGCCGCAGTCGGCGCAGCGGAACGGCCGCTCCCCGGTGTGCGTCCGCAGGTGCACGGCCAGGTTCACCTTCTGCCGGAAGCGCTTCCCGCACTCGGCGCACGCGTGGGGCCGCTCGGCGCAGCCGTGGGGACACTCGGCGCACGCGTGGGGACACTCGGCGCACGCGTGGGGCTGCTCGGCGCAGCCGTGGGGCCGCTCGCGGCCGTGGGGCCGCTCGCAGGGGTGGGGGTGCTCGCCACAGGTGGGAGGATGCTCGGCGCAGCCGTGGGGACACTCGGCGCAGGCGTGGGGCTGCTCGCACGCGTGGGGCCGCTTGGTGCAGGCGTGGGGCTGCTCGCAGGGGTGGGGACATTCAGCGCAGGGGTGCGGCCGCTCGGTGCAGGGCAGAGGCCGTTCGGTGCAGGGCAGAGGCCTCTCAGCACAGGGCAGAGGCCTCTCGGTGCAGGGCAGCGGCCGCTCGGTGCAGGGCAGTGGCCGCTCGGTGCAGGGCAGCGGCCGCTCGGTGCAGGGCAGTGGCCGCTCGGTGCACGGCAAAGGCCTCTCAGCACAGGGCAGTGGCCTCTCGGTGCAGGGCTGTGTCTGCCCACAGGCGTGGGGTCGCTCACAGGCGTGGGGATGCTCCACGCAGGCGTGGGGATGCTCCGTGCAGGCGTGAGGATGCTCCGTGCAGGCGTGGGGATGCTCCGTGCAGGTGCGGCGCTGCTCGGCGCAGGTGTGGAGCCGCTCGGCGCAGCCGTGGGGTCGCTCGGCGCAGCCGTGGGGACACTTGGCGCAGGCGTGCAGCTGCTCGGCGCAGGCGTGGGGCCGCTCGCCGCCGCCGCCGTGGCCCGGCCGGAGCCCCCCGTGCTCCGCGCAGCCCTCCCCGCAGAGCGCGCAGGGGAAGGGGCTCCCGGCGGGGTCCAGGGTGCCAGGGGCCGCGCCGGGGGTCCCGGTGTGCACGCGCTGGTGCACCCGCAGGGACAGTTTGCTCTTGAAGCGCTTGGGGCACTCGAGGCAGGTGAAGGGCTGGCGGCCCAGGTGCGTCTTCTGGTGTGCCAGCAGGTTGGGCTTCTGCGCGAAGCGCTTCCCGCACTGGGCGCAGGCGAAGGGGCGCTCGCCCGTGTGCACCCGGTAGTGCGTCACCAGGTTGCCCTTCTGGTTGAAGCGGCGGCCGCAGACGCCGCAGGTGAAGGGCCGCTCACCTGTGTGGATGCGCTGGTGGGTGGCCAGGTTGGTTTTGAGGCTGAAGCGCTTGCCGCAGGTGTCGCAGCGGAAGGGGCCGCGCCCGCCGGCGCCGTGCCCGTGCCGCGGCGGCCGCTCGCACTGCGCCAGGCCGCGCCCGCACTCGGGGCACGGCCAGGGCCGGCCCTCGCCCGCCCGCGCCGGGGGGACCCGGGGGGCTGCTCGGCGCCCGGCTCGGCGGGGCAGCGCCGGGGCACGGCTTGTGCCCCGCGTGGCTCTTCTGGTGGGCGACGAGGGCGAGCCAGAGCCCGAAGCTGTTCCCGCACTGATTGCAGATGAAGGGCTTTTCCGGGGACAGCACGGCCTCCCCCGGCCCCGGCTGCGCCCCCAGGGGCCCCAGGACGGGGGGGCCGGGGGCAAAGGGGGCGCGGGCGCCTCGGGGGGCCGCAGCAGGGGCACCTTGGGGCAGAAGCCGTCGCCGCAGTGGGCGCAGGGGAAGGAGGGCTCACCCGGGGCCGGGGCGGGGAAGCCCTTCTCGGGGCACGGGAAGAGCTCGGAGCCCTCGGGGAGCTTCGGGGCGGGCGGGAGCGGGGCGAACAGGGCGGGGTCCTGCGGGGCGGGCGCGGGGGGCAGCAGGGCGGGCGCGGCCCCGAAGGGCGCGGCGGGGGCCGGGCCGCGCGCGGGGCAGCGGCGCTGGCGGGGCATGTGCGTCTTCTGGTGGGCCTTGAGGGACACCTTGTCCTTGAAGCACTTGTGGCACTGGGCGCAGGGGAAGGGGCGCAGGTCGGTGTGGGTGCTCTGGTGCGTGACCAGGTTGGTTTTCTGGGTGAAGCGCTTGCCGCACTGGGCGCAGGCGAAGGGCCGCTCACCTGTGTGCACCCGGTAGTGCGTCACCAGGTTGGTTTTCTGGTTGAAGCTGCGGCCGCACAGGAAGCAGGAGAAGGGCCGCTCGCCCGTGTGGATGCGCCGGTGCGTGATGAGGTTGGGCTTCTGCCGGAAGCTCTTCCCGCACTCGGGGCACACGAAGGGCGCGTCCTCGGGGCAGCCCCGCGCCGGCGCCCGCGCCCGCGCCTTGCCCTCCTCGGGGTGGGCGCCGTGGATGCGCTGGTGCGCCAGCAGGTTGGCCTTCTGCGAGAAGCTCTTGCCGCACTGGGCGCAGGGGAAGGGCCGCTCGCCCGTGTGCACGCGCCGGTGCGTCAGCAGGTTGGGCCGCTGGCTGAAGCTCTTGCCGCAGTCCCCGCAGCGGAACGGCTTCTCCCCGGTGTGGATGCGCTCGTGCGTCACCAGGCTCTGCTTCTGCCGGAAGCCCTTCCCGCACTGGGCGCAGCGGAACGGGCCCGGGACGCCCCCCTGGGCCCCCCAGCAGCCGGCACGGGGGGCAGGGGGGTCCCGGGGGGGCTCGGGGCCGCGCTGCCCGCCGGGGAACCAGCGGCCGGAGCTGCCGCCCGCGGCCGGAAACAGCTCCAGGGAGCCGGCGCCAATCCCGGGCTTCTCCTCGGGTTCCACCTTGCTCACCCGCCCGGGCTCCACTGCACCGGAGAGATCCCGGTGTTATCCCGGCTCCCGGAGCAGCCCAGGCTGGCCCGAGCGGGGAGGACCCGGGCCCAGCCCCCCCTTTCCTTGTGGGACCCTCACTCCTGAACCATGGGGACCTGGGACACCCCAAAGGGCCTCCAGTCCCCAAGCCTCTCCGGGTGTGTGACACTCCAAACCCCCCAGTTTGTGACACCCAGGTCCAAAATGGTCCAAACTGGCTCAGAATGGCAAAAAACAGCCTAAAATGGCCAAAACTGGCTCTCAAAACTAGCCCACAATAGCCGTGAACTGGCTCAGAATTGCCATAAACTGGTCATAAATGGCTGTGAACTGACATGGGAATGCCCCAAAATGGCTGAAAACTGTCCCAAAATGGCTGAAAAAGGCCTTTAAACTGGCCCTAAGTGCCTCAGAACAGTCCCCAACTGGTTTCAGAAAGTTCTAAACTGGCTCAGAATGCCCCAGAAGAATCCCAGCCCACGTTTCCCCCTGAGCCCCACAGATCCGGACTCACCAGTGCAGGGGCTGCCCAGGGCCTTGGACTCCTCTGGGCCCGTCCGCGCGGCTCCGAACGGCTCCTCCGGCGGCTTCATCCCGAACAAACCCCCCGGCTTAAAGAAGCGGTACCCTGGGGGGACACGGGGCACCGCCGTCGGGACCACCGGAGAGCTGGCACGGAGCTGCTCCCGGGAGAACCGGGCTCTGGCACCGGGGATGGAGCCGCCCCTCCAGAACCAGGCTCCGGGTGAGCCCATCCCGGCTCTGGCTTCTCCCGCAGCCTCTCCCATCCCCGGGAATCCCCAGAACGCTTTCATCATCCCAGTTCAAAGTCCCCACAAAAATGCAGCGGGCTCTGGGCAGAGAGTTCCACCCCAGGGCGTCCCCCTCACCTGTGCAGGGATCCGAGGGGATCTCGGCGCCGACGGCATCCAGCTGGGATCCGGCCCGCGGCGCCGGGCTCAGCCGCGAGTACGGCAGCAGATCCAGGGCGTGGGCGGGCTGGGGAGGGGGCAGCAGCTCAGGGGCATTTTGGGGCCATTTGGGGCATTTTGGGATGTCTGAGGACCTTGCCCTTGGTTGGCCACAGGCCAAGGACGGGATCATGCCCCAATTCCTCCATCCCAAATATGAGATTCCTTGTTCCAGGATGGATCCCACATCCCTGCTCCCCAAACCAGACCCCTGCTCCCCCAAATGACATCCCCACCCCCCCAAACCAGACCCCTGCTCCCCCAAATCACATCCCCACCCCCCCAAACCAGACCCCTGCTCCCCCAAATCACATCCCCACTCCCCCAAACCAAATCCCTGCTTCCCCAGCAGATCCCTCCTCCCCAGACAAGATCCTTGTTCCCCCAAAACAGATGCCCCACCCTGCTCCTCCAGACCAGACCCCTGACCCCCAAACCCGTGTCCCTGTCCCCCCCATCCCCACTGCCCACCCCCAAACCAGCTCCTTTCCCGCACCGAGGCAGGAACCTTTCCCGAAGAGCCAGGCCCGCTTTTCGGGGGGCGCTGAACCCCCCAAGTCCCCCGTGCCCTCCCGCATCCCTCTCGTGTCCCCAAGTCCCCGGAGCCCGGCGGAGGCAGAGCCGGGGGGGTGCGGCCCCCCCGCGCCGCGGGACTCCCCAATGCGCGGATTTCCCGCAAAAACTCTCGGGGGGGCTGAGGAAAAATCCATCGGAAAAGCCCCGGCCGCGGGAATCCCCCCGGAGATCCCCCCGGGGGTGGCGGAGCGGGGATCCCCCGGGAGCTCCCCCGGGATCCCCCCGTACCTGGGGCGCTCCCCCCGCCGACATCGCTGCCCCGGGCCGCTCCCGGCCGCTCCGGGCTCCTCGAGCGCTCCTTCCCGGCTCTTCCCGGCCTTTTCCCGGCCTTTTCCCGGTCTCCTTCCGCCTCCGAGTCCCTCAAATGGCCGCGGCGGGTCCTGGGAGAGCGGGAGAGGCGGAATGTGAGCGGGAGGGGGAGCGGGGCCGGGAGGGCAGCGGGAACCGGGAACCGGGAACCGGGCCGGGAGCGCGGCGGCCCCGCAGCGGCTCCGGCGGCCTCGGCGCCCCGTCCTCCTCCTCCTCCTCCTCCTCCCCCCGGAATTTGGGGTGCGGAAGGCGCCGAGCGGGGCCGGATCCGGCTGTGAACGGCAGAGCCGGGGAGCGCTGGGAGTTGTAGTTCGGGATGGGACGGGATGGGATGGGACGGGACGGGACGGGACGGGACGGGACGGGACGGGACGGGATGGGATGGGATGGGATGGGATGGGATGGGTTCGATGGGACGGGACGGGACGGGATGGGATGGGATGGGACGGGACGGGGCTGTAGATGGGATGGATTCGATGGGATGGGTTCGATGGGATGGATTCGATGGGATGGATTCAATGGGAGCGAGCGGGAGCAGGGAATGGCCCCGGCACGGCATCGGCCTGTCCAGCCGGGAACAGCCCCAGGAGCCGGGAACAGCCCGGGAATTTGGGAATAGCCCCGATACAGCAGCACCTGGAGAACCGGGAACAGCCCCGGGAGCCGGGAACAGCCCTGGGAGTTTGGAATAGCCCCAGGAGCCGGGAATAGCCCCGGAATTTGGGAATAGCCCCGGTACAGCAGCACCTGGAGAACCGGGGACAGCCCCGGGAGCCGGGAAAAGCCCCGGTACAGCAGCACCTGGAGAACTGGGAATAGCCCCGGGAGTTGGGAACAGCCCCAGTACAGCCCCGGGAGTTGGGAACAGCCCCAGGAGCCGGGAATAGCCCCGGTACAGCAGCACCTGGAGAACCGGGGACAGCCCCGGGAGCCGGGAAAAGCCCCGGTACAGGAGCGCCCCGGGAGTTGGGAACAGCCCCAGGAGCCGGGAAAAGCCCCGGGAGTTGGGAACGGCCCCGGGAGTTGGGAACAGCCCCGGGAGTTGGGAATAGCCCCGGGAGTTTGGAATAGCCCCGGGAGTTGGGAATAGCCCCGGGAATTGGGAATAGCCCCGGGAGTTGGGAACAGCCCCAGGACTTGGGAACAGCCCCGGGAGTTGGGAATAGCCCCGGGACTTGGGAACAGCCCCGGGAGTTTGGAACAGCCCCGGGAGTCGGGAACAGCCCCGGGAGCCGGGAACAGCCCCGGGAGCCGGGAACAGCCCTGGGAGTTGGGAATAGCCCCGGGAGCCGGGAACAGCCCCGGGAGTTGGGAACAGCCCCGGGAGTTGGGAATAGCCCCGGGAGTTGGGAATAGCCCCGGCACAGCCCCGCCTTGGTCAGGAACAGCCCCGGGGCTCGGGAGGAGCCCTGGCCGGAATCGCCTCATCAGCCGGGAACTGCCCCGGGGCCACCGGGCCGGGCTCCCCCGGGGCTCGGGGATCCCGGGGCAGGGGAATCCCGGGGCTCGAGGATCGCGGGGCTCGGGGATCCCGGGGCTCGGGGATCGCGGCGCTCGGGGATCCCGGCGCTCGGGGATCCCGGGGCTCGGGGATCGCGGCGCTCGGGGATCCCGGGGCTCGGGGCTCCCGGCTGTCCCGGTACCGGCCGCGCCTCGGGGGGCTCGCGGTGACCCCCGCGCGCCCCAGCAGCGGCTCCTGCGGAAGCCCCGGACCCGCCGCCGCCACGGGGGTCCCCCCGGAGACTCCGACAGTTCCTGACACTCCCAGCACAACCCGAGACCCCCCCCGAGCCCCCCGTGTCACCCTGAGCCCCCCCGGGACCCTCCCGGGACCCTCCCGGGGAAACTCACGGGCGGCCGCTGCCCCGCGCCGCGGTGACGTCACGCGCTCGGTGACGTCAGCGCGCTCGGTGACGTCACCGTGTCAGCCGCGGCCCCGTCCGGCCGCGCCCCGTTCCGGGTCGGGGGGCGGGGCCCCGGGGCAGCGCCCCCTGGCGGCGGCGCGGGACAGCGCAGGCGCGGGGTGGGAGGGGCCGGAGAGACCCCGCCCTCCCAGTATGGCCCAGTGTCCCCCCAGTACGGCCCAGTGTCCCCCCAGTGTGCCTTGGTGTGCCCCGGTACAGCCCCAGTGTCCCCCCAGTGTGCCTTGGTGTGTCCCGGTACAGCCCCAGTGTCCCCAGTGTCCCCCCAGTGTGCCTTGGTGTGCCCCAGTACAGCCCCAGTGTTGCCCCAGTGTCTCCCAGTACAGCCCCAGTGCCCCCCCGGTGTGCCTTGGTGTGCCCTGGTACAGCCCCAGTGTCCCCAGTGTCCCCCCACTGTCCCCCCAGTGTGCCTTGGTGTGCCCCGGTACAGCCCCAGTGTCCCCAGTGTCTCCCAGTACAGACCCAGTGTCTCCCACTGTCCCCCCACTGTCCCTTAGTGTCCTCCAGTACGGCCCCAGTGTCCCCCGGTGTCCCCAGTGTCCCCCCACTGTCCCCCCCAGTGTGCCTCGGTGTGCCCCGGTACAGCCCCAGTGTCCCCCCAGTGTGCCTTGGTGTGCCCCGGTACAGCCCCAGTGTTGCCCCAGTGTCTCCCAGTACAGACCCAGTGTCTCCCACTGTCCCCACACTGTCCCTTAGTGTACCCCAGTGCAGCCCCAGTGCCCCCCAGTGTCCCCCAGTACAGCCCCAGCGCCCCCCAGTGTCCCCCAGTACAGCTCCAGTGTCCCCCAGTGTGCCCCAGTACAGCCCCAGTGCCCCACAGTGTTCCCACAGTGTCCCCACAGTGCTCCCCAGTGTCCCGCTCCGGAGCACATCCCGAGGAGCAGAGCTCATTCCCGGCTGTTCCGGGGGACCGGAGTCATTCCCGGGGGACAGAAGCCCGTGCCCGGCATCAGGAGCCCGTTCCTACGGGCAGGAGCCCGTTCCTACGGGCAGGATGTCATTCCCGCGGGGCGTGACAACACTGCGGGGACAGGAGCCATTCCCGGGGGCAGGAGCCATTCCTGAGGGACAGGAGCCATTCCCGGGGGACTACAGCCCATTCCCGGGGGGCAGGAGCCATTCCCGGGGACTGCAGCCCATTCCCGGGGACAGGAGCCATTCCCGGGGACAGGAGCCATTCCCGGGGGCAGGAGCCATTCCTGAGGGACAGGAGCCATTCCCGGGGGACAGGAGCCATTCCCGGGGGACAGGAGCCATTCCCGGGGACAGGAGCCCATTCCCGAGAACTGCAGCCCATTCCCGAGGGATTGCAGCCCATTCCCGGGGGACAGGAGCCCATTCCCGAGAACTGCAGCCCATTCCCGGGGGACAGGAGCCATTCCCGGGGATTGCAGCCCATTCCCGGGGGACAGGAGCCATTCCCGGGGACAGGAGCCCATTCCCGGGCCAGGCGCCGTTGCGGGGCTGCAGGGTGCTCCCGGTGCTCCCGGTGCTCCCGGTGCTCCCGGCGCTCCCGGTGCTCCCGGGGCTCCCGGTGCTCCCGGTGCTCCCGGCGCTCCCGGCGCTCCCGGTGCTGCCGGTGCTCCCGGTGCTCCCGGTGCTCCCGGAGGGCATTCCCGGCAGCCCGTGACGCATTCCCGGGGTCTCTCCCGATCCCATCCCGGCCCCTCCTCCCGCGCCCCGCGGGGTGGGGTGGGGGGGGGCACCCGCGGGGCCGTCCCGGGGGCGGATTTGGGGGCAGATCCCAGGAAATCGGCTGATGCCGGCCCGACGCCAGCGGCCCGCGGATCCGTGAGGCCGTTCCCGGCGGGATGAGGCTGCCGGTGGCCCTGTGGCTGCCGCTGGCCCTGGCGGTGGCCGCGGCGGCCGCGGGGCAGTCCCCGCTCCAGCGGCGCGTGGTGCGGGACGTGCTGGAATATTTCCACGCGCGCAGCAACGTGCATTTCCTCTTCAAGGAGCGGGAGCTGGACGGGGTCACCGAGCGGGTGAGTAACGGGACCCGGCACCGGGAGTGCCGCTCGGGCTCCGGGATGGCCGCGGGAACGGGGAGGGGCGCGGGCAGGGGTCCCGGGGATGGGGAGGGGGCAGCGCCGGGAGGGGACCAGCAGGGACCGGGAGTGGCGTTGGGATCTGGGATTTGGGGTTCAGGATGGCCGCGGAACGGGGAGGTCAGGGTGGGTGTCCTGGAGGGGACAGGGGTGCGCGGGAGCAGCGGGATTCGGGATTGGGACTTGGGGTTCGGGATCCGGGACGACCATGGGGCTGGGGAGGGTGTTGGGGTGTCCCAGAGGGGACAGAGAGACGGCTGGGGAGGGGATTGGGGTGTCCCCGAAGGAACAGAGGGCTGGGGAGGGGATTGGGGTGTCCCAGAGGGGACAGAGAGGGCTGGGGAGGGGATTGGGGTGTCCCCGAAGGAACAGAGGGCTGGGGAGGGGATTGGGGTGTCCCAGAGGGAATGGAGATGGACAGGATCATCGAGCAGCTGTGTTGGGATTTGGGATTTGGGGTTCAGGACTGGGATCCGGGATGGCCACAGGGCTGGGGAGGGGTCAGGGTCCCAAGGGAATAGGCGGGTGCGGGGGTGTCCCGGGGCGCTCCGGGACCGGCCCTGCTGGCCGGGCTGAGCTCGGTTATCCATTAACAGATCCGAGCTGATCCCGGTGCCCCCAGAGCCGGGTCCATCCCGGGGTGCCCCTGGACACTGTCCCGGTCTGGGAAGGGCCAGGACTCCAGGGACCCCACTTGGGGCCGTGTGCCCGTCCTGGAGCCACCCTGGGGTGGGATTTACCTGAGGCTGTCCAGGATTCAGGATCCCTCCCAGGGTTCAGGGTCCCTCCTGGGATTTGGGGTTCCTATGGGAGCTTTGGGGTCCCTCTCAGGGGTTGGCATCTGTGGGGTTCAGGGTCTCCCCCAGGATTTGGGATGACTCCTGGGGTTCAGGGTCTCACCGGGGGCTGCATTCCCTGGGACTGTGGGGTTTGGGAATCACTCTGGAGGTCGGGATCCCTCGGGGGGTCCGGGCCCTGGCACGCCCTGCCACCCCCGTTCCCGTTCCCGTTCCCGCAGGAGGATCCTTCGGGGACCTTCGTGCAGCTCCGCCTGGGCCTGGCACAGACCACCTGCCGCAAGCGAGCGCCGCAGCGGCACTGCCGGGTGCTGGAGAACCGGGTGAGGGGCTGGGGACAGGCCTGGGGTGTCCCTGCTCCCCTGGGGACAGGCCTGGGGTGTCCCTGCTCCCCTGTGGCACGTGGGGTGTCCCTCTTCCCCTGGGGACAGGGCTGGGGTGTCCCTCCTCCCCTGGGGACAGGCCTGGGGTGTCCCTGCTCCCCTGGGGACAGGGCTGGGGTGTCCCTCCTTCCCTGGGGACAGGCCTGGGGTGTCCCTTTTCCCTTGGGGACAGGGCTGGGGTGTCCCTGCTCCCCTGGGGACAGGCCTGGGGTGTCCCTCCTCCCCTGGGGACAGGTTTGGGGTGTCCCTCCTCCCCTGGGGACAGGGCTGGGGTGTCCCTCCTCCCCTGTGGCACGTGGGGTGTCCCTTTTCCCTTGGGGCACATGTGGTGTGTCCCTTTTTCCTTGGGGCAACATCTCAGGGTGTTCCCATCTCCCTTGGCACATCCTGCAGTGTTGTCCCCTCCCTCAGGACACTTTCCAAGCTGTCCCTCTCCCTTGGGCCACATCCCCACTCCCTGGGGCCTATCCTGGGGTGTCCCCTCTCCCTTGGGGCACATCCCAGGGGTCCCACACCCCTCAGCGTCCCGCAGCCCCCCCGTCCCGTCACCACGCCGCTGAGGGTGGCAGGGTGGGGCAGAGGGTGGCAGGGTGGGGCAGAGGGGACGGCGGTCAGTGCCGGAGGGTCCCCAGGGCTCCGGGGGTGACACCGCCCCGTGTCCCAGAGGAAGCCGACCTGCCTGGCCTGCTACAAGTTCGACACCAGCGATGTCCCCAAGGTGCTGGACAAGTACCACAACTGCGGCCCCAGCCACCACCTGGCGGTCAAGGTGAGTGCCCCCAGTGCCGCCGGTGTCCCCCCTGTGTCCCCACTGTGCCAGCCCCTGCTGTGCCCGCAGGAGATCCGGCAGCGGGACGAGGCCGAGTGCCGGGCGGTGGAGGAGGCGGGGAGAGGGGGGGACACGCCGTACCTGCCCGGAATGTTCGCCTTCTCCCGGGGGCTGCCGGCCTAGGTGGGTACGGGGACACCCCTGGGGACACCCCTGGGGACACCCCTGGGTGGGGACACCCCTGGGGACAGGGGGACACGGGGATCCCAGCACAGCCCCACTCCTTGTCCCCTTTCCAGGCACCACGGCACCGACGGACGCTGCCACGGCGGTCCCGGCCTGTCCCGCTTGTCACCCCCAGCCCCGTGTGAGCACGGGGGGTCCCGGACGTGTCCCCCGCTCCCGCCTGTCCCCCCTGCCCAGTAAACCAGCGCTGGCCCCGCTCTCACGCCTCTGATTCCCGCCTGGCACCACCCGTGCCATCCCCTGTTGTCCCCAGGGACAGGGACAGGGTGGGTGGGGAGTGGCCCCATGTCACCACCGCCCGTGTCACCTCCTGTGTCACCTCTTGTCCTTCCCCAGCGATGGGCTGAGCAGTGAGACCCCTGAGGCCACAGGACAGAGGGACACTGGAGGGTGGGACATGTTTAATGCACAGTGCCACCACGTCCCCTGTCCCCGCGATGTCCCCAAGCCGAGGCCGGGCTCCCCACGGCTCCTCTGCTGCTCCCTGGGGACCCTCTGCTGGGCTGGGGTGGCTCTGGGGGTCCCCTGGCCGCAGTCTGGGGGTCCCAGAGGAGGAAGGAGACAGGCTTGTGGTGGCTCTGGGGGTCCCCTGGCCGCAGTCTGGGGGTCCCACGGCTCAGAGGAGGAGGGAGACAGGCTCGTGGTGGCTCTGGGGGTCTCACGGTGACACTGTGGGCTCGGGGGCTTTCCTGGATCCATTTCTGTGCTGCCATGGCTAAGAGAAAGAATTTGGGCAGGGGTGGCACTGAGGGGCTCCTACACCTGTTTTTGGGGTCTCACAGTTCAGAAGATGACGGAGATGGACTCGTGATGGCTCTGGGGGTATCCCAGCCCTGGTTTTGTGGTCCCACAGGCTGTGGTGGCTCTGGGGGTTCTCCTGGCCCTGTTTTCAGGGTTCCATGGCTCAGATGACAATGGCTGTGGGCTGTGATGGCTCTGGGGTTCTCCATTCCCATCTTCAGGGTCCTGTGGCTCAGATGAGGGTGGCTTTGGGCTGTGGTGGCTTTGGGGGTTCTCCTGGCCCCGTTTTCAGGGTTCCATGGCTCAGGTGATGATGGCTTTGGGCTGTGATGGCTCTGGGGTTCTCCATTCCCATCTTCAGGGTTCTGTGGCTCAGATGATGATGGTTTTGGGCTGTGGCGGCTTTGGGGGTTCTCCTGGCCCCGTTTCCAGGGTCCTGTGGCTCAGATGAGGGTGGCTTTGGGTTGCGGGTTCTCCTGGCCCCGTTTTCAGGGTTCTGTGGCTCTGGGGGTTCTCCATTCCCATCTTCAGGGTTCTGTGGCTCAGATGAGGGTGGCTCTGGGGGGTCTCCTGGCCCTGTTTTCAGGGTGGCTCAGGTGACGGTGGCTTTGGGCTGTGATGGCTTTGGGGGTTCTCCATTCCCATCTTCAGGGTCCTGTGGCTCAGATGAGGGTGGCTTTGGGCTGTGGTGGCTCTGGGGGTTCTCCATTCCTATTTTCAGGATTCTGTGGCTCAGATGAGGGTGGGTTTGGGTTGGGGGTTCTCCTGGGCCCGTTTTCAGGGTTCTGTAGCTCAGATGGCTTTGGGCTTTGGTTTGGGGGTTCTCCATTCCCATCTTCAGGGTTCTGTGGCTCAGATGAGGGTGGCTTGGGCTGTGGTGGCTCTGGGGGTGAGGGTGGCTTTTGGCTGTGGTGGCTTTGGGCTGTGGTGGCTCTGGTGGTTCTCCATTGCCATTTTCAGGGTCTTGTGGCTCAGGTGACAATGACTTTGGGCTGTGGTGGCTCTGGGGGTTCTCCATTCCCATCTTCAGGGTTCTGTGGCTCAGATGAGGGTGGCTTTGGGCTGTGGTGGCTTTGGGCTGTGGTGTCTCTGGGGCTCTCCATCCCCATCTTTGGGGCACCACGGCCCACACACGGCAGGCCCGAGCCCGTGGCACCTCTGGGGCTCTCCCGGCCGCGGCGGTGGCTCAGAAGCCGAAGTCGGCGTGGTGGCGGCGGCCGAGCGCGCGCCGGGCCTGCGCGATGGAGTCGTCGGCGCGGCGGCCGAGCTCGCGGCACTCGCGCAGGGCCTGGCCCAGCTGCCGCGTGGCCTCCTCCAGCACGGCGCTGCGGCGCGCGGGCCGCGCCTCCCAGAAGCCGTCCCGCACCCAGGGCCGCGGCGGCTCGGCGGGCACGGCGGGCGCCTCGGCGGCATCCAGCGCGGCGTCCAGCTCGCGGCACAGGCGGAAGAGCTCGCTGCCGCGGCCGGCCACGCGCTGCCCGTCGATGGCCTTGAGGCCGGGCAGCATGGCGGCCAGCGCGGCGCGGTAGGCCGGCGCGGCGCAGAGCGGGTTGGCCAGGCCGCCCAGCGGGTCCCGCAGGCGCAGGCTCTCCAGGTGCCGCAGCCCCCGCAGGCAGCGCAGCTGGCGCACGCTGCGCAGCCGGTTCCCGGCCAGGTTGAGGCGGCGCAGGCTGAGGCAGCCCCGCAGCGGCTCCACGCTGGCCACGCGGTTCCCGGCCAGGTTGAGTACGGCCAGGGCGCGCAGCGCGGCCAGCGGCGCCAGCCCCGCGATGGCGTTGCCGGACAGGTCCAGCCACTCCAGGTTGGAGCAGTCGGCCAGGCAGCCCAGGTGGGCGATGCCGCGGCCGCGCAGCCGCAGCAGCAGGATGGACTCCAGAGAGAACTCGCCCGTCGTGGCCTTCAGCAGCGCCGGCGTCACCCGCACCCCGGAGCCTTCATCTTCATCTTCATCCTCCGCCTCCTCCTCCTCCTCCTCCTCCGATAGCTCCGACACCTCCGGCTCCGGCACCTCCTCCCCGCGCCCCTCCATCCCTGCGGGGAGGTCCTGGGGTGGCAGTGGGGACACCCCCGGGCAGCCTGTGGGGCACCCTGAGCTGTGGGGACACTGTGGCGTGTCAGTGGGGCACAGGGACACACATGTCTGGGACACGTGTCAGGGGGTGAGGAGCACAAGGAGATGTGGGGCACAGCTGGGGGTGTCACCTCCTCCGCCCCACGCCCCTCCATCCCGTGGGGGTCCCGAGCAGGAGAGGGGCTGCGGGTGGCACCGGGGAGCGGCTCTGGATGGACACGCTGGCTATGGGGTGGCCTGGGGTGCGGGGACACGTGTGGGACACATCTGGGGTGCACAAACACATGTGGGAAACATCTGGGGGTGTCTTGGGGGTGTGGGGACACGTGTGGGACCCAAAGGGCATCGGGGTCGTCAGGGGACACGCGGGGCTCATATCTGGGTGGAACCTGGGGTACAGGGACAGGTCCAGAGCCCATGGGGAGCCCCCACACCCCAACACCCCCCAGACCCACCGTGTTCCATCCCTCGGTGCCCCCAGGCCACCCCATTTCCCCCGTCGGTGCCCCCGTTACACCCCCAGAGCTCCCGGACCCATCTCCCGACCTCACAGCCCCCCCGCTCCCTCCCCCGCTGCTCCCAGACCCTTCTGTGGCCCTCCCGGTGATCCCGTGAGCCCCGCCGAGCCCCTCCATTCCACCCGCCCCTCTCCGCCCCCCAGGTCCCCCCAAATTCCCCAAATTCCCCAAATCCCCGCCCCCCCCCCCTTCTCACCGCACGGCAGCTCCCGGCGGCCCCCGAGGCCCCGCCCCCTGTTGCCATGGGGACGAGGCCCCGCCCCCGTTGTCATGGGGATGATGCCCCGCCCATCACTAAGCCACACCCCCGCGCCCTCCGTTTAGCCACGCCCCCTCCCCTGGGCCACGCCCCCCGCGCCCCCGGCCCGCGATTCCCGCGATTCCCGGGAAATTCCATAAAAACGGCTTTATTGGCACTTCCCTCCCTCCCGCCGCTCCTGCCCACGGCAGCGCGGCCGCGGGGACGCCCCTCCTGTCCCCGCCCCGCGGTCCCCCCGTGTCCCTCACCGGCGGCGCTCCGGCGCCACCGGCCACAGCGGCAGAGCCGCGCGGGATCCCGTGGGATCCTATGGGATGCTGTGGGACCCCCCTGCCGGGCCCCCGGCACATCCCGGTGCTCAGGATGTGGCACCAGCGCATCCCGGCACCTTCCGGCACCTCCCAGGGCTGAGGGGTCACCACCGGCACCGCTGCGGGCACGGGCACATCCCGGCACATCCCGTTCGCAGCACCGGCAGCCGCTGGGGAACCCAGCACCTCCCAGCGCTCAGGATGTGCCACCGCGTCCCCCGGCACATCCTGGCGCCAGGACCCGCCACCGGCGGCCATCAGGGCCCGCGGCACCTCCCGGCAGCACATCCTGACACCGCAGTGCCGAGGATCCCCCATCGGCACCCACCGGAGCCCCTGGCACCTCCGGGCCTTCAGGGGCACAGGGTGGGGGGCTCTGGCCAGTTCAGCTGGGCCCCAGTGATGCCGGTGCCACTGGCAGCGGTGGCCGTGCCCGTCCCCGCACCGCTGGTGGCCGTGCCCGTCCCCGTGCCCATCCCGGTGCCGGTGCCGGTGCCGTGGGTGCGCTCGTGGCGCTCCAGGTGCGTTTTGCGGGTGAAGCCGCGGCCGCAGCGGGCGCAGCGGTGGGGCCGCAGCCCGGTGTGCACGGCCTGGTGCCGGGCCAGGTTGGTCTTGGAGCTGAAGCGGCGGCCGCAGCGGGCACAGGCGTGGGGCCGGGTGCCCGAGTGCACCAGCAGGTGCCGCGCCAGGTGCGCCTTGCGCCCGAAGCCGCGCCCGCACTGTGGGCAGGCGAAGGGCCGCTGGGCACCGGGCACCTGCGGGGCATCCTGGGGGTCCTGGGCACAGCCCTGGCCACTGTTGGCACTGGGGATTTGCGGCCGGTGCTGGTGGTCCTGGGCACCGGGCACTTGCGGGAGGGGCGAGGAGTCCTGGGCACAGCCGAGGGTGCAGTTGGCACCAGGCACCTGCGACAGGAGCTGGGGGTCCTGCATGAAGGGGCACTCGGCCGTGGGCACCTCCGAGGGGTGCTGGGGGTCGTGGGCTCCGGGCTCGCGTGGGGGCTGCAGGGGAGGCTGGGGGTCCTGGGCACAGCCGAGGGTTCGGTTCTCCAGGGGCTGCCACGGCTGCGGTGCCGCGTTCTGCTTCCAGGCGCGGCTCGTCCCGCACTGGGGGCAGATGAGCAGCAGCTCCTCGGCGGGGCCCTCCCCGCCCGCGTCCCGCCGCTCCTCCGCGTGTCCGTTCCCAGCCCCAGGCGCCGCTCCCGCGGGCGGCCCCGGCTCCGACGCGGGGTTCTGCTTCCAGGCGAGGCCGATCTCGCAGGCCGGGCAGGGCAGCGGCTTCTCCTCGGTGTGCCCATCCCCGTGCCCATCCCCGTGGCCGTGTCCGTGGGCCGGCGCGGGCTCCCCGTGCAGGCGCAGGTGGCGCAGGAGGTGCTGGCGGTGCGCGAAGCGGCGGGCGCAGCGCGGGCAGGGGTGCGGGCGCTCGCCGGTGTGCGTGCGCAGGTGCCGGTCCAGGTGCGTTTTCTTGCGGAAGCGGCGGGCGCAGCGCGGGCAGGGGTAGGGCCGCTCGCCGGTGTGCGTGCGCAGGTGGGAGCGCAGGTGGATGCGCTGCCGGAACCGGCGGCCGCAGTGCGGGCAGGGGAAGGGCCGCTCGCCCGTGTGCACCCGCAGGTGCCGCGTCAGGTGCGCCTTCTTGCCGAAGGCCTTCCCGCACTGCGGGCAGCAGAAGGGCCGCGGGCCGGGCTGCGGGCAGCGCCCGCGCCCCGCGGGGCCGGGGCTCGTCCCGGAGCCGGTGCCGGCGCCCAGCCCGAGCCCAAAGGCGAGCCCGAGCCCGAGCCCGTCCAGGCGCGGCCCCGGCTCCCAGGCCGGCAGCACCCCGTAGCCCAACTCCTCCGGGCACGGCTCCTCCGCCTTGCAGCCGCCGCCGCGCCCCGGGGTCCCGGCGGGGTCCGGGGGGAAGGCACCGGGCGGCGGCCGCGCGGCCAGCGGGGCCCCGGTGCCAACCGCGGCTGCCCAGGCCTCGGCCTCGTCCTCCTCCTCCTCCACCTTCACCTTCCGCACCAGCCACGGCCCTGCGGGGACACGCGAGGGAGGGAGGGGACGTGCCAACGCCGCGGTGTCCCGGCACAGCCCCGGGGCACGGCAGCTGTCACCCGAGGACGGAGCTGCCGCTGGCACCGGGCTCGGTGACCATCAAGGCCAACGGCACCGGGGACGTGCTGACCGTCACTTCAAGGACCTGGCACGGTCGCTGGCCCTGGGGACACGGTGACCGTCCCCTGAGGACCCAGCGCTGCCACCAGGCCCGGGACAGGGTGACAGTGACCATGTGGCCTGGCACTGCCGGTGTGACTGTCCCTCACCTGAGTCGTGCAGCTCTGGGTCCCCTGGATCATCCCCGCCGTCCTCGGGGGTCACCTCCGCCTTGGGGACCACCAGCCACGCTGGGGGGACAAAGAGGCACAGACAGGTCCCTCCCCGGCTCAGGGGTGTCCCCGATCACCCCGAACCCCGCGGACCCCACCCGAGCCCCCCCAGAACCCCCCAGGCCCCACCTGAGCCGGTGCATCCCGGTGCTTCCATCTCCTCCGGCTCCGTCCTGGCCACGGGGGGACCTGCGGTGGGGGGGCACGGGGTGAGCCCCCCCAGACCCGAGCTCGGGACCCCCGGCACACCGGGGGCTTCGGGACCCCCGGGACCCCCGGGCACGCACGCAGGGCACGGCGGGGGCAGACACTCTCCTGCTCGGTGGGTCCGGGGGGGTCTGGAGGGGTTCAGGGGGGATTCAGGGGGTCGCAGGGATCCGGGGGGGGGTCTCGTGGCCTCCGTGGGGCTCTGGGGCGGTCCGCGGGGTTCCCGTGGAGTGGCGTCCCCGTCCCTGTCCCCCAGGAGCTCACGGCCACCCCACCCCCGTTCTCCGTGCCCCCCGGGCCCCCCCGTACCCCCACCCCGGCCCTTTCCGCACCCCCAGTGCCCCTCCGGCCCCGCACAAACCGTTTTTGTTCCCCGCCGCCCCCCCGCGCCCCCTTCCCGTCCCCGCCCGCCCATCCTGCCGCTCCCCGCCGGCCCCCCGCCCTTCCTGCCGCTCCGAGCCCGACCCCACTCGCGATCCCGGTCCGCTCCCGGTCCCGCCGTACCGCGGCCTCCGGGCCGCCCCGGCCCCACCGGCGCCGCCGCCGCCGCCGCCGCGCCCCGCCCCCCGCGGTGGCCGCCGGTCCCCCCGCCCCGCCGGGACCGCCCCCGGTGTCCGCGGCACCCGTGTCCGCGCCCCCCGTGTCCGCGCTTCCCGTGTCCCCCCCTCGTGTTCCCCCCTCCTGTCCCCCCCGTGTCTGCGCCACCCGTGTTCGCGCCCCCCGTGTCCCCCCGTGTCCCCCCGTGTCCCCCCCGCAGTGCCGTACCGGTGTCCCCCTTGGAGGGGACACGGACACGGACACGGACACGGACACGGACACGGACACGGCGGGGTCGGGGACGGGGTGAGGGGGGCACGGAGACACGGGCAGGGACCTGGGGACACTCGGGGGGACCTGGGGACACTCGGGGGGACCTGGGGACAGCAATGGGCAAGGACACGGGATAGAAACGGGGACATGGGGGGACACGGAGGGGACATGGAGAGCACAGGACCGGGCAGGGGGGGGACACGGGGCTGGGGAGACACGGGAGACACGAGGGGACACAGGACAGGGACGGGGGGACACGGGGGGGGTACAGGGGACACGGGAGACACGAGGGGACACAGGGCAGGGACGCGGGGACACGGGGGGGTACAGGGGACACGGGGGGTACAGGGCACACCAACAGGACACGAGGGGACACGGGGGGACACAGGACAGGGACGGGGGACACGGGGGGGTACAGGGGACATGGGAGACACGAGGGGACACAGGGCAGGGACGGGGGGACACGGGGGGGTACAGGGGACACAAAGGGACACAGGACAGGGACACGGGGGGACACGGGGGGTACAGGGGACACGGGGGGGGTACAGGGGACACAAAGGGACACAGGACAGGGACGGGGGACACGGGGGGGGGGTTGAGCGTGACCGGGAGCCGCGGTCCTGCCACATCCGTGTCCCCGCGGCCCGTGGCGGATCCCGGATGTCCCGGGCCGTGACCTTCTCCCGGGAAACGGGGAGATGTCACCCTGGTGTCCCCCGCCGCCAGCTGTGCCCAATCGGTGCCACCGCAGCTGGCGGCGCTTCGGGCACCGTCCATAAATCCCGGAGCCGCGGGCAGCGCCGGGCCGGGCTGGGGAGTGGGGCCGGGCGGTGACACCGGGGACACCCCGGGGCAGCCTCCGGCCACGGGGACACCCCGGGGCACCCTCCGGCCGCGGGGACACCCCGGGAGGTGACAGCGGAGCGCCTGGATCCCCTTTTCCAGGAAAACCGGGACCGCCATGGCCGCGGCGGCGTGGCCCGGGGTCACCGCGGGGGTCGTGGCCATCGGCGTCCTGTGGGTGACAGCCGTGGGGGCAGCCACGGGGTGAGGGACGGGAATGGGGACGGGGAATGGGGATGGGGGTGGGGGATGGGGAACAGGGGATGGGAATGGGGATGGGAATGGGAATGGGAATGGGAATGGGAATGGGAATGGGAATGGGAATGGGGATGGGGGTGGGGAATGGGGATGGGGAATGGGAATGGGGGATGGGAATGGGAATGGGAATGGGAATGGGGGATGGGAATGGGGAATGGGAATGGGAATTGGGAAGGGAGCTGGGAATGGGGAATGGGAACTGGAAATGGGTTTGAGAACTGGGAATTGGGGTATGAAATGGAGATCAGGGCCTGGAACTGGGAATGGGAGTTGGGAGCTGGGAATGGGTGGCAGGAGCAGGAATGGGAGCTGGGAATGGGTGGCAGGAGCCAGGATGGATCCCTGGGGGGTGCCAGATGGGAGCTGGGATGGATCTGGGATTGTGCTGGGTGCTGGTGGATCCCGGCGGGTCCTGGCAGGTCCCAGTGGATCCCGGGTGGATCCCGGCTGATCCCGGGCAGATCCCGGGTGGATCCCAGCAAATCCCGGTGGGTCCCGGTGGGTCCCGGGCAGATCCCGGGTGGATCCCGGGCAAATCCCGGGCAGATCCCAGCGGATCCCGGCACATGCCGTGGCTGCCCGCAGGCGCTGGTGCGAGCGGACGGTGCCGGTGACGGAGCAGGAGGAGGTGACGCCACGGCGCGAGGCCGCGGTGCCGTGTCCCAGTTTGTACCAGTACAGCCTGGCCGGGTGGCGGCTGGACCGGGAGCGCACGCGCCGGGAACGCGGGAATGCCCCCGGGGACACCGGCACCGAGCCCGCCCTCTGCTACATCTACCGGTGAGCCCGGGGGACGCGGCGCGGGCTGGCACCGGGGCCGCTGGGTCCCTGTCCCCCAGACGATGCCGGGGTGTCCCCGCAGCCCCCCGGAGGTGCAGCCGGTGGTCCGGAACCGCACGGAGCGGGGCTGCTGCCCCGGCTGGAGCGGCGCCCGCTGCACCGAGGGTGAGGGGGACACGGGGGTGGCACCCGGGGGCGTCCCCGCTGTGCCGTTCCCGCCGGGAATGGGATGGGAACTGGGAGTCGGGATGGGAACTGGGAACTGGGATGGGAACTGGGAACCGGGATGGGAACTGGGAGCTGGGACTGGTGCTCGGATGGGAACTGGGAGCTGGGATGGGAACTGGGAATCGGGATGGGAGCTGGGAGCTGGGATGGGAACTGGGAGCCGGGATGGGAACTGGGATGGGAACTGGGAGCTGGGATGGGAGCCGGGATGGGAACTGGGAGCCGGGATGGGAACTGGGAGCCGGGATGGGAACAGGGATGGGAACTGGGAGCCGGGATGGGAACTGGGAGCCGGGATGGGAACTGGGAGCCGGGATGGGAACTGGGAGCCGGGATGGGAACTGGGAGCTGGGATGGGAACTGGGAGCTGAGCTGGGATGGGAATTGGGAGCTGGGATGGGAACTGGGAGCCGGGATGGGAACTGGGAGCTGGGATGGGAACTGGTACTGGTGCTAGGATGGGAACTGGGACAGGAGCCGGGATGGGAACTGGGAACCAGGATGGGAACTGGGATGAGCGTCATTCCCAGCACATCATTCCCAGTGTGACACCCTCCCCGTGCCACTCCCACCGGGGCTGGGATGGGCGCTGGGGTGAGTGCCACCCCGTGCCCCTGGGTGTCACCCGCCGTGCCCGTCCCCAGGCCCCGGCTCCCTGGGCCGCTGTTTCAGCGCCTGGCAGTGCCAGGACAGCTCTGGTGGCAGCAATGGCAGCGCCATGAGCCGCGCCGAGTGCTGCCAGCACCCCTGGGGACACAGCTGGCGCCGCGGGGACCCTGGGGACAGCGGCGGGCCCTGCCTGCCCTGCACCCGCCTGCCCCTGGGCGGGGACGGGCGCTCCCCGCGCCACCGCAGCCCCCCGGCCCTGTGCCAGGCCTGGGCCGGGACGCGCTTCCGCACCTTCGACGGGCGGCACTTCGGCCTCGCCGGGAGCTGCCGGTACCGCCTGGCCGCCGCCACCGACGGCACCTGGCACGTCACCGTCCGCCTGGGACAGCCCCGGGTACCGGAGCCGGGCAGCAGGGCACCGGGAGGGCACCCAAACCGCTGCCAGCGCGGGGCGGGGGTGGGATGGACGTCGGGAACGGGGATGGGTGACACCAGACTGGGGCAGGGGACGGGATGGGTCACCCGGGGTCCTGGTCCTGCTCCCAGAGGAGGAGTGGGGCTGGGAACCGGGCTGGGAACCGGCAGCGGGGATGGGAGCTGGAATGGGGTTTGGGGGCTGGGATGAGTCTGGGGGCTGGGATGGGAACTGGGAGCCGGGATGGGAACTGGGAGCTGGGACTGGTGCTAGGATGGGAACTGGGAGCCGGGATGGGAACTGGGAGCCGGGATGGGAACTGGGAGCTGGGACTGGTGCTAGGATGGGAACTGGGAGCCGGGATGGGAACTGGGAGCCGGGATGGGAGCTGGGAGCTGGGATGGGAACTGGGAGCCGGGATGGGAGCTGGGATGGGAACTGGGAGCCAGTATGGGAACTGTGATGGGAACTGGGAGCTGGGATGGGAACTGGGAGCTGGGATGGGAACTGGGAGCTGGGATGGGAACTGGGAGCTGGGATGGGAACTGGGAGCTGGGATGGGAACTGGGAGCTGGGACTGGTGCTAGGATGGGAACTGGGAGCTGGGATGGGAACTGGGAGCTGGGATGGGAACTGGGAGCTGGGATGGGAACTGGGAGCTGGGATGGGAATTGGGAGCTGGGACTGGGAGCCGGGATGGGAACAGGGAGCTGGGATGGGAACTGGGAGCTGGGATGGGAACTGGGAGCTGGGATGGGAACTGGGAGCTGGGACTGGAACTGGGAGCCGGGATGGGAACTGGGAGCCGTGGGAACAGGGGAACAGGGATGGGAACAGGGGAACAGGGATGGGAACAGGGGAACAGGGATGGGAACAGGGGAACAGGGATGGGAACAGGGGTCCATCCCTGGCACCGTGGCACACCTGAGTGTCCCATGCCCATCCCCACGCCCATCCCTGCTGTCCCCACACTCCTGAGTGTCCCGGTGCCACCCCCCTGCCGCAGGTGCTGCTCATGACCTTCGGCACGGACACGGTGGTGGCCGAGGGACGGAACGTGTCGGTGAACGGGGCGGCGCTGCCCGAGGGACGCCCCTACCTGCACAAAGGTGAGGTCCCCAAGGCCACCGGGCCGGCCAGGGTGAGGATGAGCCCTCAGAGCTGTCAGGGGACACGGCGAGCAGCCAGCTGCCAGCAGCAGCCCTGTCCCCCTGCCCTCGCGCAGGGCTCGGTGTCACCTGGCCGGGTGACTGGGTGGCCGTGGCCAGCGGCCTGGGCGTGCGGGTGGCCTGGGACACGGAGCTGGCGGTGACAGTGACAGCGGAGCCCGAACTGCGCGGTGGCACTTGGGGGCTCTGCGGCACCTACACCGACGACCCCGCGGGTGAGTTCCCCACGGGCAGCACCGCCCCCACCCCACCTGGGGGGACAGGGGACGCCCCACGCGCCCCACCCTCCCTGTCCCCCCAGACGACTTCGTGCGCCCCGACGGGGACATCGCTGCCGTCGCCGCCGCCTTCGGCAACGCCTGGAAGGTGCCCGCGGCTGGCACGGAGGTACCCGAGGGGCCGGGCTGGCACCTGGTGCCCATCTGGGGGTCCCCGGGGGTCAGCCCCGCGCTGAGGGACCCCCGCCTCAGCCCCCGTGCAGGGACGTGCCGGAGGGTGGCACCAGGTGTGGCCCAGGTGAGCTGGCAGCGGCGGTGGCCACGTGCGGGCGGCTGATGGCCCAGCCCTTCCAGCAGTGCCACGGCGAGGTCAGCGGCCCCGGGGGCTTGGGGGGTCCCAGGGGGTCCCAGGGGATCTCGGGGGGGTCCCCGTGTGGCTGTCCCGGGAGGCTCCTGGCGGTTCCGGGGGATCCCAGAGTTGTTCTGGGGACCCCCAGGGCCCTCTGGGGAGGTCGGGAGGGTTCCAGGGGGTTCCAGAGGGTCCTGGGGAGTCTTGGAACCTCCTGGGGGGTTCTGCAAGATCCGGGGGGGTCCTGGGGTGTCCTGGGGACTCCGGGAGTCCTGGAAGGTCTGGGAAACTCCAGGGGGTTCATCCGGAGGGATGGTCTGGGGTCTTTTGGGGAGTCTCGGAGGATTCTCACTGCTGCTCCCCCCTCCTCCAGGTGGACCCCAGCGGGTTCTATGCAGCGTGTGTGGCACTGCTGTGTGGGGACGTGTCACCCCCTGGTCCCCTGCCACCCCCCGGTCCCCTGCCACCCCCCGGGCCGCCGCCCGCCGCCGCCTGCGCCACCTTCGCCGCCTATGCCCGGGAGTGCTCCCGCCGCCAGCTCGATGTCCCCTGGCGCCACCCCGGCCTCTGCGGTAGGAACCGGGCTGTCCCCTCTGTCCCCTCTGTCCCCTCCCCGCCGTGCCGCCGGTGCCACCGCGGTGTCACCTGTCCGCAGAGCGCCGCTGCCACGCGGGGCAGCGCTTCTCCGACTGCGTGTCCCTGTGCCCGGTCACCTGTGCCACCGCGGGCAGCGCCGAGCCGGGCTCCTGCCACCGCCACTGCCACGGCGGCTGCGAGTGCGGCCCGGGGCTGGCCCGCGACGGGGACAGCTGCGTCCCCCCGGCCGCCTGTCCCTGCCACCACCGGCGGCAGCGCTACGAGCCCGGCCAGAGCATCCGCCAGCGCTGCAACCGCTGGTGGGTGGCACCGCGGCGACAGCGGTGGCGCCGGGCTGGCACCCACAGGGGGGGACCCCGCACCCCTGGGCAGCCCCAGGGTCCCCTTTGGCGTGTGCCTCCCACCCCAGTCCTGGTGTCCTCCGTGATGTCCCCTCACCCCAGGGTCCCTGTAGGGTGTCCCCCTTCATCCCAGCTTCCCTGTGACATCCCCTACTGTCCCGGTGTCCCCTGCCACGCGTCCCCCATCCCGGTGTCCCCGGTGTCCCCGCGTTACCCCGCGGTGCCGGCAGTGTCCCTCCCCGCTGACCGGTGTCCCGGGTGTCCCCGGTGTCCCCGCACTACCCCGCGGTGCCGGCAGTGTCCCTCCCCGCTGACCGGTGTCCCGGTGTCCCCGCGTTACCCCGCGGTGCCGGCAGTGTCCCCCGCCACTGACCGGTGTCCCGGTGTCCCCGGTGTCCCCAGCACGTGCGAGGGTGGCCGCTGGCGCTGTGAGCAGCAGCGGTGCCCGGCCGAGTGCACGGTGCTGGGGGGGCGTCACTTTGTCACCTTCGACCGCCGCCGCTTCTCCCTGCCGGCCCCGTGCGCCCACACCCTGCTGGAGGTGAGGGGACACGGGGGACACCGCGGGTGGCCGAGGGGCGGCGGGGCGGTGATGGGGCGGTGGCCGTGGTGGCCGGGGGGTGTCACCGTGTCTCTGCCCCCAGGACGTGGTGGCGGGGCGGCTGCTGATCACCGCCGAGCACGAGCCGTGTGACAGCGACCGGCCCCGCGACTGTCGCCGCAGCCTCACCGTCACCACCGGCCGCACCACGGCCCGGCTCCACGGCACAGGTGACACGGGACCGGGACCGGGACCGGGATCATCCCCACACCCCGGTGGTGTTGCGGCAGAGTCCCTGTGCCTGTCCCCGCTGTCCCTGCGGCGGTGGGTGACATCCCAGTGCCCGTCCCCCTGTCCCCGCGGCGGTGGGTGACATCCCAGTGCCCGTCCCCCCTGTCCCCGCGGCGGTGGGTGACATCCCAGCGCCTGTCCCCGGTGTCCCCGCGGCGGCGGGACCCCTCCCGGTGGCCGCCGCACGGAGCCACTGCTGTCGCCCTCAGGGGAGGTGACAGTGGCCGGGCGGGAGGTGACACTGCCCTTCTCCGGCGCCGGGCTGAGCATCCGCCGCGCGTCCTCGGCCTTCGTGCACCTGCAGCTGCCCGAGGCCCACCTGCTCTGGGGGCTGGGGACCCCCGACACCTTCATCACCCTCCAGCCCGCCATGGCCGGCACGGTGAGGGGGACCCCGGACCCGCGGGGTGCCCGGTGGGACGGAGCCGGTGGGATGGGGATCTGCGGGGCTCTGCGGGGCTCCGGGAGCCGGTGGGATGAGGCTCTGCGGGGCTCTGTGAGGCTCTGCGGGTCTCTGCGGGGTTCTGTGGGGCTCTGCGAGGCTCTGCCCTGCTCCGGGCAGGTGCGGGGGCTCTGCGGGGCTCTGTGAGGTTCTGCGGGGCTCTGCGGGGCTCTGCGGGGCTCTGTGAGGCTCTGTGAGGTTCTGCGGGGCTCTGCGGGGCTCTGCGGGGCTCTGTGAGGCTCTGTGAGGTTCTGCGGGGCTCTGCGGGGCTCTGCGGGGCTCTGTGAGGCTCTGCGAGGCTCTGCCCTGCTCCGGGATGGAACCGGTGGGATGGGGCTCTGTGAGGCTCTGCGGGGGCTCTGCGGGGCTCTGCGGGGCTCTGTGAGGCTCTGCGAGGCTCTGTGAGTCTCTGCGGGGCTCTGCGGGGCTCCGGGAGCCGCTGGGATGAGGTTCTGAGGGGCTCTGCGGGGCTCTGCGGGGCTCTGTGAAGCTCTGTGGGTCTCTGCGGGGCTCTGCGAGGCTCTGCCCTGCTCCGGGCAGGTGCGGGGGCTCTGCGGGACCTTTAACGGGGACCAACGCGACGATTTCACGACGCCGGAGGGGGACGTGGAGCCGGGGGTCGCCGCCTTCGCCAACGCCTTCCGGGCGGCCGGAGCCTGCCCGGCGCTGGGCCCCGGTGCTACCGACCCCTGCGCCGCCTTCCCCGGGGACCGGGAGCGCGCCGAGGCCGCCTGCGCCGTGCTCCTGGGACCGGCATTCCAGGTGAGACCCCGCGTGGGGCGGCGGGGACGGCCACGCGGTGTGACAGTGACAATGTCCCCCCGGCACAGCCGTGTCATCGCGTGGTGGACCCGGAGCCGTTCCTGGAGCTGTGCCGCTGGGACGTGTGCTCCTGCCGGGACCGGGACCGGGAGCGGGACCGGGAATGGGAGCGGTGCCTCTGCCCGGCGCTCGGCGCCTACGGCCGAGAGTGCGCCCGGGAGGGGACGGAGCTGCAGTGGAGGAACCGGAGCCTCTGCGGTGGGACGGGAATGGGGATGGGAATGGGAATGGGGACGGGATGGGAATGGAATGGGGATGGGATGGGAATTGGGATAGGAATGGGATGGGAATTGGGATGGGATGGGATGGGAATTGGGATAGGGGTGGAATGGGATGGGATGGGAATTGGGATGGGATGGGATGGGAATTGGGATAGGGATGGGATGGGGATGGGATGGGGATGGGGATGGGAATGGGAGTGGGAATGGGGATGGGGATGGGGATGGGGATGGGGATTGGGATGGGAATTGGAATTGGGATGGGGAAGGGATGAGATGGGGATGGGGGTGGGATGAGACGGGATGTGTTTGGTATCGGGATGGGGACGGGATGTGTTTGGTATCGGGATGGGGATGGGATGAGATGGGATGTGTTTTGTATTGGGATGGGGATGGGATGGGGACGGGATGTGTTTGGTATCAGAGTGGGGGTGGGATGAGATGGGATGTGTTTGGTATCAGAATGGGGATGGGATGGGGACAGGATGTGTTTGGTATCGGGATGGGAATGGGATGAGACGGGATGTGTTTGGTATCGGAATGGGGGTGGCATGGGGACGGGATGAGATGGGAATGGGGGTGGGATGGGGACAGGATGTGTTTGGTGTCGGGATGGGGATGGGATGGGGACGGGATGTGTTTGGTATTGGGATGGGGATGGCATGGGGACAGGATGAGGTGACATCTGCCCGCCCGGTGACCCCCATGTCCCCCCAGAGGAGCCGTGTCCCGGGGGGCAGCAGTACCGGGACTGTGGGGGTCCCTGCGGCCGCTCCTGCTCGGAGCCCCCCGGGGCCGGTGACTGTCCCCCTCCGGACACCTTCTGCGTCCCCGGCTGCCGCTGTCCCCCGGGGCTGCTGCTGGCCCAGGGGGGACAGTGTGTGCCCCCCGCCGCCTGCCCGTGTCCCCGCGGCGCCCGCCTGTACCCGCCCGGCGCCCGCATCCACCGCGGCTGCCAGGCCTGGTGGGTCCAGGGGGATCGGGGGGTCGCGGGGAGGTTTGGGGTGCTGGGGGGTCACCCACAGGACGGGATCACCCCGGCAGAAGGTGGCGGTGGCGGTGACACATGATGAAAACCCCTCCGGCCCGGTGTGACGCCCCGCGGGGCGGAGGGGCTTTCGTCCCGTGTCCCACCATGGGGACAGCGACAGGGGACCCCAGTGCGGGGCCCTCAGTGGGATGGGGTACCCCGGGGGAGGGGGGGCAGGGGACCAGCGGGATTTGGGTGCTGGGAGATGAGAATGGGGGTGCAGGAACCCCGTTGTGGGGTCTCAGAGGGATTTGGGTGCTGGGAGATGAGAATGGGGGTGCAGGGACCCCGGTGTGGGGTTTCAGAGGGATTTGGGTGCTGGGAGATGAGAATGGGGGTGCAGGGACCCCGTTGTGGGGTCTCAGAGGGATTTGGGTGCTGGGAGATGAGAATGGGGTGCAGGGACCCCGTTGTGGGGTCTCAGAGGAAATTGGGTGGTGAGGGGCGGGGCTGGGGACACGGGGACCGCGGCATGGGGGTCCCAGCAGAATGTGCGGGCTGGAGCTTGGGGCACCCCATGAGGGGGCTCGGAGGGTGCTGGGGATGGGGGTGGGGACCCCGGGGGGTCGGGTGGGATTTGGGTTCTGGAGTTGGGGGTCTCAGACGGACGGGGACCCCTCTCGCTGCCCGCAGTGTGTGCGCAGGGGGGTCGTGGCGCTGCGCCCCCGGCCCGTGTCCCCCCGGGCCGCGCTGTCCCCCGGGGCTGCGGCACGCCCCGGGCTCCTGCCTGCGCCGCTGCGACCCCGCCGAGCCCGCCGGTACCTGCGGCGGCCCCGCCGACGGCTGCGTCTGTCCCCCCGGGACGCTGTTCCTGGTGGGTGACACCCGGGGGATGGGGATGGGGATGGGGATGGGGGACCCCCCGACCCCCCTCACCGCGGTCTGGCCGCAGGACGGGCGCTGCGTGCCACCGGACCAGTGTCCCTGTCACCACGGCGGGCAGCTGTACCCGCCCAACGCCACCATCGCCCGCGACTGCAACACCTGGTGCGACCCCCGGCCGCCCCCAGACCCCTCCGGGCCCGCGGTGACACCCGCAGCCCCCGCGGTGGCACCGAGCCTGTCCCCGCAGCGTGTGCCAGGGACAGCGGTGGCACTGCGGGCGCCAGGAGTGCGCGGGGGTCTGCGTGGCCACGGGGGACCCGCACTATGTCACCTTCGATGGCCGCGCCTTCACCTTCGCGGGGGACTGCGAGTACCTGCTGGCGCGGGAGGCCACCGGGCTCTTCGCTGTCACCGCCGAGAACGTCCCCTGTGGGGCCACCGGTGTCACCTGCACCAAGTCCGTGGTGGTGGCCATGGGCAACACCGTGGTGCACATGCTGCGGGGTGAGGGGACACGGGGACACGGGGACACGGGGACATGGGGACACGGGGGGAACATGCTGCGGGGTGAGGGGACACGGGGACACGGGGACATGGGGACACGGGGGACACGGGGACACGGGGGACACCGTGGTGAACATGCTGCGGGGTGAGGGGGACACGGGGGACACGGGGGACACGGGCGATACACGGGAGGTCACGGGGGGACACAGAGGGACACGGGGAAGTGGCGGGGTGACCCCCAGCGGGGTGACCCACGGCGGGGTGACCCCCAGCGGGGTGACCCACGGCGGGGTGACCCACAGTGACACCCCAGCCCCGTCGCGGCCGGGTGGGGGATGTGGGGGGACACGTAAGGGACACGCGGGGGTGACCCTCGGTGCCACACCGGCAGGGCGAGAGGTGACAGTGAACGGGGTGGCCGTGCGACCCCCGAAGGTGTTCGGGGGGTCGGGGCTGACGCTGCAGCGCGCGGGGCTCTTCCTGCTGCTCCTGACGCGCGTGGGGGTGGCCGTGCTGTGGGACGGAGGTGAGACACGGGGGACACGGGGGGACACGGGGGGACACGGGGGGACACGGGGGTGGCCGTGCTGTGGGACAGAGGTGAGACACGCGGGGACACGGGGGGACACGGGGGGACACGGGGGACACGGGGGTGGCCGTGCTGTGGGACAGAGGTGAGACACGGGGGGACACGGGGGGACACGGGGGGACACGGGGGTGGCCGTGCTGTGGGACGGAGGTGAGACACGCGGGGACACGGGGGGACACGGGGGGACACGGGGGACACGGGGGTGGCCGTGCTGTGGGACGGAGGTGAGACACGGGGGGACACGGGGGGATACGGGGGACACGGTGGGACACGGGGGGACACGGGTGGCAGCGCTGGCAGCCGCGGTGCCCGCAGGGACACGCGTGTACGTGCGGGTGTCCCCGCGGCTGCGGGGCCGCCTGGCCGGGCTCTGCGGCAACTTCGACGGCGACGCCGAGAACGATTTCGGGAACCGGGACGGGGCCCTCGAGGCCACCCCCGAGATCTTCGGGGACTCCTGGAGGCTCAGCCCCCTCTGCCCCGAGGCCGAGGGCCACCGCCCGCACCCCTGCGAGGTACCGGACACGGGGACACGGGGGACACGGGGGACACGGGGGACAGGGGGGGACACGGGGCATAGGCAGGGGGACACGGGGGGACACGGGGGGACACGGGGGGACACGGGGAGCTGCAAGTGGGACACAGGGAGCTGGCAGAGGGACACAGGGAGCTGGCAGGGGACACCGGAGGACACAAGAGCTGGCACAGGGGGACGTTGGGGGGTACAAAAGAACACGGGGCAGTGACGGTGCCAAACCCCAGCGGGAGGAGGATGAGGAGGGGCCTTAGACTCGGCTGAACTCCCCGGGCAGTGTCCCCCCGGCACCGCTGCGATCTCCTGAGTTCGCTGAACGGGGACAATGTGGGGACACGCGGGGTCTCACGGGTGTCCCCCCAGGACAGCCCCCAGCGCTCGGCCTGGGCGCGGGGTCGCTGCGGGGTCCTGCGCCATCAGCTCTTCGCCCCCTGCCACGAGCTGGTGCCCCCCCAGCGCTTCTACGAGTGGTGCCTGTTCGACGCCTGCGGGTGAGTTGGGGGGCGCGGGGGGTCCCCGAGCCCCGGGCGGGTCCCGGTGTGGGCCCGGTCCCACGCGCGTGTCCCAGCTGTGACAGCGGCGGGGACTGTGAGTGCCTCTGCACGGCCCTCGCCGCGTACGCCGAGGAGTGCGGCCGGCGGGGGAGAGCCCTGCGCTGGCGGAGCCAGGGGCTGTGCCGTGAGTCCGCCCGGGCTCCGGGGCACCGGGGGTACCGGGCGTACCGGGGTACCGGGGGTACCGGGGTACCGGGGGTACCGGGGGTACCGGGGGGCTCCGGGGGCTCCGGGGGTACCGGGGGTACCGGGGGTACCGGGGGTATGGGGGACTGAGGGACACGGGGAGTCCGGGGGCACGGGGGGCTGGGGGACACAGGGAGGGTACCGGGGATATGGGGGACTGGGGGACACGGGGAGTCCGGGGGGCACGGGGGTCTGGGGGTCTGGGGGTCTGGGGGGCACAGGGGTACCGGGAGTCCGGGGGGGCACGGGGGTACCGGGAGTGTGGGAGCCGGGGTGCACGGGGGGGTACCGGGGATATCGGGGACTGGGGGACACGGGGAGTCCGGGGGGCACTGGGGGCACGGGGGTCTGGGGGGCACAGGGAGGGTACCGGGAGTCCGGGGGGCACGGGGGGCACGGGGATCTGGGGAGCACAGGGAGAGTACCGGGAGTGTGGGGGGCTGGGGGTACTGGGAGTACGGGGGGCACGGGGGTCTGGGGGGCACAGGGAGGGTACCGGGAGTCCGGGGGGCACGGGGGGCACGGGGATCTGGGGAGCACAGGGAGAGTACCGGGAGTGTGGGGGGCTGGGGGTACTGGGAGTGTGGGGGGCACGGAGGGGGTACCGGGAGTCCGGGGGGCACGGGGGGCACGGGGGCCAGGGGGGGTACCGGGGGTATGGGGGTCTGGGGGTGCCGGCAGTGTGGGGGCCGGGGGCACGGGGGGGTCCCATCCTGCCCCCGCTCTGGAGGATCCGGGGCTGTGCCGTGGGTCTGGGGGGCTCAGGAGAGCACAGGAGGGCCCGGGGGGAGCCAGGGACACGGGGGGCGGGCAATGGGTCTGGGGGTGCAGGAGCCCCCACGGGGGCCAAGGCGCAGGGGGGGGGTCCCCCGTGGGGCTGTGGGATGAGGGGGGCGAGCGCCTCGCGTGGTGTTTGGGGGGTCCCAGGCTGTGCAGTGGGGGGTCCCAGCCCCCCTAACCCCCCAATCTCCGCAGCCCTGCAGTGCGAGGGGGGGCAGGAGTACAGCCCTTGCGGCCCCCCCTGCCCCCCCACCTGCCGCGACCTCGGCCGGGACCCCCCCGAGCTCTGCGGGGCCCTGGGGTGCCTCGAGGGGTGCTTCTGCCCCCCCGGGCGGGTCCTGCACGGTGAGGGGCTTGGGGGGGGCTGGGGGGGACTGGGGGGACTTTGGGGGTGCCTGGGGGGCAGCTGGGGGGGCTTTGGGGTGGCTGGGGGGGGCTGGGGGGGCTTTGGGGGTGCCTGGGGGAGCTGGGGGGGGGCTGGGGGGGCTTTGGGGGTTCCTGGGGGGAGCTGAGGGGGTTTTGGAGGTGCCTGGGGGTGCCTGGGGGGTGCCCGGGGGGTGACGGTGCCCCCTGTGCCCCCCCAGACGGGCTGTGCGTGGAGCCCCCCGCCTGCCCCTGCTTCTGGGACGGCTTCGCCTTCCCGGCCGGTGCCACCGTCACCCAAGGGTGCAGCAACTGGTGAGGCACTGGGGGATACTGGGAGCCCGGCCGGGGTGTGCTGGGCCGGGACAGCGGGTGTGGGGACACTGGGACAGTGGGACAGCGCGGTGTGGGGACACTGGGACAGCGGGACACAGAGACCAGGACACCGGGACACCGGGACAGCGGGGTGTGGGGACACAGCGATACCGGGACACTGAGAGACCGGGACACCGGATTGTGGGGACACCGGGACACTGGATTGTGGGGACACCGGGACACCGGGATGTGGGGACACCAGGACACTGTGAAACCAGGACATGGGGTTATCAGGACACCGGGACAGCGGGATGTGAGGACACCAGGACACCGGGAGACCGGGACACCGGGACACCAGGATGTGTAGACATGGGAGACCAGGACGTGGGGAAATCGGGACACCGGGACACCGGGGAAATGGGATATTGGGATCCCAGGACAGTGGGACACCAGGACACGAGGACAGTGGGATTTGGGACACGGGGACCCCCGGCCGCCAGGACACCGGGCCAGGGGCACACCGGGAGCCGGGCCAGGGGCACACCGGGACACGGGGACAGGGGCACACCGGGACACCGGGCCAGGGGCACACCGGGACACGGGGACAGGGGCACACCGGGACACCGGGCCAGGGGCACACCGGGACACCGGGCCAGGGGCACACCGGGCCAGGGGCACACCGGCAGCCCCCGGCCCATGTCAATCCCGTCCGTGTCCCGCCCGCAGCACGTGCCTGGAGGGGCGCTGGCGGTGCCCCCCGAGCCCGTCCCGGTGTCCCGCCGCCCCCGGCTGTGCCCCGGGGGAGTTCCGCTGCCGGGCCGGGGGGCTCTGCGTACCGGGGGCCTGGCTCTGCGACAACGAGGACGACTGCGGGGACGGCTCGGACGAGCTGTGCGACCCCCCCTGCGCCCCCCAGCAGCCGCGCTGCCCCGGGGGGCGCTGCCTGCCCTGGGGGGCGCGCTGCGACGGTGTCACCCACTGCCCCGACGGATGGGACGAGGTGGGGTGCCCGGGCCGGGTCTGCGAGCCCCCCGACTTCGCCTGTGCCGGGGGTCGCTGCCTGCCCCCCGCCCGGCTCTGCGACGGTCGCCTCGATTGTCCCCCCGGGGACGACTCGGACGAGGCGGGTGAGTGAGCACGGGGGGTCGGGGGTCCTGGGAGTGGGGGGCTGCAGGGAGTTTTGGGGTCCTGGGGAACTGGAGAGCCCTGCAGGCCTTGAGGGCTGTGCTCCTCAGTGGGGTCTCTGAGCCCCCCAACATTGGGGGTCTGTGCCCCTCAGTGGGGTCTCTGAGCCCCCCAATATTGGGGGTCTGTGCCCCTCAGTGGGGTCCCTGAGCCCCCCAACATTGGGGGTCTGTGCCCCTCAGTGGGGTCCCTGAACCCCCCAATATTGGGGGTCTGTGCCCCCCGCGGCCTCTGGATGTCGCGGGGATGGCGCCGCTCGGGGGTCCCCGGGCAGCAGAGACCCCCAAGTGCCCCGTGCGGTGCCATGGCCCAGCTCGGGATGCCCGTGCCCACCCGGGGGTCCCGTCCCCGCAGGCTGCGCCCCCCGGTGCGGGCCGGGGCAGTTCCGGTGCGGGGGGGGCCGGTGTGTCCCCTACGGCCACCGCTGCGACGGCCGCGACGACTGCGGGGACGGGAGCGACGAGAGCGGCTGTGCCTGTCCCGAGGGGCACCTGCCGTGCCCGGGAGGCGGCTGCCAGCCCCCCGCCGCTCTCTGCGACGGTCACCGCCACTGCCCCGACGGCGCCGACGAGGCCAACTGCCCCGGTGAGGGCCGCGGGGGGACGGCCGCTCCGGGACCCCCCGGGACCCCTCTGCCCCGGTACCGGCCCGCCGGGGACCCCCACCCGGGACCCTTCACCCCGGGAACCCCCACCCGGGGACCGGCCCGGGACCCCTCTGCCCTGGGACCACCCTGCGAGACCCCCCCCCAACCTGGGGACCACCCCGATCCGCCCCGAGAGACTCCCGATCCAGGGACTCCCCCCGGGACCCCCACCCGGCATCGCCCCTTTGGGGACCCCACCCCGCGAGCCCCTCACGCCTCTGGGCCCCCCCCTTGGGCACCATCGCCCCGCGGCGGCGGTGTCACCGCTGTCCCCGCGTCCCCAGCGCGGGCCACCTGCGCCCCCGGCACCGTCCCCTGCCCCGACGGCTCCTGCGTGCCCGAGGCCGCCGTGTGCGACGGTGCCCGCGACTGTCGCGACGGGTGGGACGAGAGCCCGGCGGGCTGCGCGGTGGCACTGCCCCCCGCGCCGCTGGCACCTGGCACCGCTGGCACCGATGTCACCGATGTCACCGATGTCACCGCTGGCACCGATGGCACCGATGGCACCGACACTGTCACCGATATCACCGACACTGTCACCGATATCGCCGCCATTGTCACCGATATCACCGCTGTCACCGCTGTCACCGATACTATCACCGCTGTCACCGATGTCACCGCTGTCACCGACACTGTCCCCGATATCACCGCCACTGTCACCGATATCACCGCCGCTGTCACCGCTGTCACCGCTGTCACCGATGGCACCGATGTCACCGCTGTCACCGACACTGTCCCCGATATCACCGCCACTGTCACCGATATCGCCGCTGTCACCGCTGTCACTGACACTATCACCGCTGTCACCGATGTCACCGCTGTCACCGACACTGTCACCGATGTCACCGGCATTGTCGCCGACGCTGTCACCGCCGACGCTGTCATCGCGGTCACCGGCAGCGCCATCGGCACTGTGGCGAGCACTGCCACTGTCAGTGACACTGACGCTATCGCCGACACCGCCACTGTCACTGTCCCCGCCACTGTCACCGGCCCTGTCCCCGCCACTGTCACCGCCCCGGCAGCGCCCTGCCCGCCCCGGTCCCTGCGCTGCGCCAGCGGCGGCTGCGTCCCGCGGGGGTGGCGCTGCGATGGCGACAGCGACTGTCCCGATGGCAGCGACGAGAGCGGCTGCGACCCCCCGTGCGCCCCCGGCCACCTGCCCTGCGACCCCCTCTGCGTCCCCCCGCACCGCCTCTGCGACGGCGTCCCCGACTGTCGCAACAGCGCCGACGAGAGCCCCCAGCTCTGCGGTGAGACCCCCGGCATCCCTCTCTGGGGACATTTGGGGGGACAGGCCTGGGGGTGCCCCCGTGTCGCCTCTTGAGGACCCGGGGCTTGGGGAGGGGGGCGACCTGAGGGGATCCCACCGGGGAGGGCTCGGCCGCGGGTGCCCCCCAGCCACACCCCCCGGGACCCCCTGAGTCCCCTCTGTGCCCCAGGGACCCCTCAGAGCCCCCCGTGTCCCCCCAGAGCCCCCCGGCCCCGGGAGCAGCCCGCGGGGTCCCTGCGCGGAGTTCGACTGCGGGGACGGGGAGTGTGTCAGCTTCCAGCAGGTAACGGGGACCGAGGGGCGGTGTCCCCGATCCCTCCTGCTGTCACCCCCAGCGTGTCCCCGACCCATTGCCAGGGACACCTACCCTCCCGGTGCCACCCCCTCTGTCCCCTGCCCCCTCCCGGTGCCACCCCCGCTGTCCCCTGCCCCTCTCGCCCCCCCCTCCCGGTGTCCCTGACTCCCCTCACCCCCTCCCGGTGTCACCCCGGTGTCCCAGAGTCCCTTTCAGTGCCACTTTAGTGTCCCCCGCCTCCCTGCCGGTGTCCCTGCGGTGTCCCCGCCGTGTCCCGCAGGTGTGTGACGGGCTGCGGGACTGCGCCTCGGCCGGGGACGAGCGGGGCTGCGGCCTCTGGGGGTCCTGGGGACCCTGGGGGTCCTGCAGCCGCCCCTGCGGGCCCGGGGGGCAGCGCCGCGCCCGGGGGTGTCACCAGCGTCACCCCGGCCTGCTGCGGGGCTGCCGGGGACAGAGCCAGCAGGAGAGACCCTGCTTCCACCGGGCCTGCCCGGGTGAGCGCGGGGGTCCCGGGGGGCCCGGGGGCCTCGGGAGGTGTTAGGGTGCCGGGGGATGTTGGGGTCCCGGGGGTCCCGGGGCTCGGGGGGCTCGGGGGGCCCGGGGATGTTGGGGTGCCGGGGGGTGTTGGGGTGCCGGGGGTGTTGGGGTGCCGGGGGGTGTTGGGGTGCCGGGGTGCTCGGGGGGCCCGGGGGGTGTTGGGGTGCCGGGGGGTATTGGGGTGTCGGGGGGCGTTGGGGTGCCGGGGGATGTTGGGGTGCCGGGGGTGTTGGGGTGCCGGGGGGTGTTGGGGTGCCGGGGTGCTCGGGGGTCCCGGGGCTCGGGGGGCTCGGGGGGTGTTGGGGTGCCGGGGGGTGTTGGGGTGCCGGGGGATGTTGGGGTGCCGGGGGGTGTTGGGGTGCCGGGGGGCTCGGGGGGCCCGGGAGGTGTTGGTGTGCCGGGGGTGTTGGGGTGCCGGGGGGTGTTGGGGTGCCGGGGGCAGCCCCGATAGTGCCACGTCTGCCCAGTGAAGTGAGGGGGGCCTGGGGGCACCGCGGGGGAGTTGGGGGTCTCATGGGGTACCTGCGGGATTTGGG